TATTGCATGCCCGAAATCGAAATTATTGCCAAAGTCGCGAGACGTTTAATAAACTTGGCCAACAATTTGGCCCGCAAGTTGGCAAACGTGTCGCGATCGTAGCATACTTTACAGCGCAACCAAATTGTGATTTATACGCTGGCTTATCAGCCAAGAGTCGGAGTTGGCGCTGCCAGCCTTAAAGTCAACATATTGCCAAATAAAAAATAAAAAATACAAAAAAAAAAAGAAAAGTAAAAGCTAACGAAAAAGAAAACCAAATGCGGGCTAGTTAGCAAGCTTTTCACTTTGCTTGCTTTCGTCTTGCTTCACCTTTTTGCTTTGATTTGTTGAAGTTTTCTTTTCGTCATTTGGCATTAGCACAGCTCTTGTTAACTCAACAACAATTTGTGCTAACGATGTCCGTAAGCTACGAAAAAAAAAAAGAGAAGAACAAATGCCACGGAACATGGCACGTGGCCGCAGTGATCCGTAACTGTGTGTGGTCGGTCGATAGTGGCTAAGCCCTTGGATTGGCCACGTGTCATGCCTGCGCGATTGATTTTTGCTTCAGCTCGGCTTGTTTTCCCTTTGTGTTTTATTGCTGGCATTAGTTTAATGATTTGAGTTGTTCCCTGCCTCTTCTCCCTCTGCTCTTTCTTGCAATCATAACTGGTTTGTTGTGCTGCATTCAAGCTGACTTTTAGTTAGAGACACTTTGCTTAGCTCCTAAAGCGAAACGCTTGACGTTATCATTGGAGTGCAGACCTTCGTTGCTGCTGCTGCATATATCCCTACTGGAATTCTGCAACTGTCAATTGCTGGGAGCTGACAGACTGCCCTGACTGCCGGCACTTGCGACAGTCCGATAGTGTAGCTGCAAAAGTTCGACTGCCGCAGCAGCAGCAATCGCAGCAGAATAAAACAATGGCTGCGTTATCGTCTTAAAGCACAACAAGCAATTGCAGTCCTGCCTTGAAGTGTCTCTTGTTTTTATCAATAAAGTTGCTCTCTGAACAACTGAAATTACTTGCAGCCATTTAAAGTCAGAGTAATTGAGCAATCAAAAAACATTTTATTTTATTACGTCTTAAACTTTAATTTATTTTAAGCGATTGCTTGGCTTTAAATCTAGCTTTTATTATTTATTTATTATTTTGTCTTTGCTGCAGACGTGCGCCCGCTTGCTCTCTCTGGCAACCTTAAAGCATTTGGACTTTTGGCAAAGCCAACTTATCACGCATTCGTCCAGTTATCCAATGTCTGCTGCTCGTTTGGCCTGTATTTATTTCTCTTTCTCGTTCTTTTTTTTTCTCTCCGTGCTCAGCAGCCGAGCACAACTCGATGCAGGCCAATGCGGTTTTCATGCTGCCATGTGGCAAATGCGACACAAACTGGCTGCAAGCTGCTGCTGGCTTGCGTGCGACACCCGATAGACCAGAGACATGGCAGCCGTGCTCGTTATTCTCGTTTTTCTCCTCTTTTGCCTGGCAGAGTCCTGCTCGCGTTGCTGCTGCTCTAAAAACATTGTCACGTGGTTTTTGTATTTAGTTGCATCGTCCATTCAGCGGGGACCCCAGGCTGTGTGTGTGTCTGTGTGTGTGTGTGTGTGAGTGAGAGGCTGCCATGGCCAGATTGCTTACCTGGCTGCCAGTCGCTGCTGTCGCCGTACGCGGGCGAAGCTCTTGCCTTCACCTTGCCTTGGCTGCAGCATTGCAGAGTGGGCGGAGCGTCTCGCCCCTTGCAGCGCCCCTCGCCGAGCCAATGCAATAAATTCAACTCTACGTTTCGTGTTTCGCATTGTCAGACGGAGCCATTGTGCTACAACTTTATTTTGCTTGTATTTGTATGCGTGTTGGCAATCGCTGCTGTTGTTGTTGTTGTTGTTGATGTCCCTGATATTCCTGCTGCTGTTGCTGTTGCTGTTGCTGTTGCCTTTGTTGTTAGGGAAATTGAAATAAATGTGTGTGTAAATGCGTCAAAATGAAGTTCTGAAAATGTTCTTGCCAGTGACAAGTGTCAATTAGAAAATGTTCAATTACATTAAAGCAGACAACAACTGCCACAACAACAATGACAACAAGAACAGTGCCCAGCTATAATAACAAACTACAACGGCAGCAACTCCAACAATAGGCAGATCAAGTGGTTCTTTGGAGCGGGCAGCCACTACTTGAAGCCATTGTCATTGGAATTTTCATTGTTGTTTCTCGCACAGCATGAAGATAAAGCACAGCAAACAGAGACAGAGACAGAGACAGTAAGAGAGAGAGAGAGAGGGCGACTGATGGAGGTACAGATACAAAGCACAACATGACCAAGTTGCCAGATAAATGTAATTAGTCGCACTTAGAGTTGGCTCGAGCTCAGCTGGGGCCTGGGGAATATCGGAGAGTTGGCATGAAGTCCTGTGACGTGTAATTAGCATGGACTATTAACTAACAAAATTAAAAAAGACCTTACTAACTTACAGTGAAGAAAACAAAACGGAGAACTTGTCGAAAATGCGGAAATTAAACGAAAGAAGGAAAGCTCTTGTGGAAGAATACACTGATTACAAAAACTAAGCAAAGTAAATTATAAACTTTGTTAATTGACGTGAGCGCCTATTGGAATAATGTGTAAGCTCTTGCAGCGATTTATATGTGTGGAAAGAGAGCAGAGTTATTCGTACGGCTATCTCTCTTTTCTTTCAGCATTCATTCGTTTTCATGAAGCATTAGCTTGACCCCGTTAAGCCCACGATCGTGGCTGTAAAATATTACAAAGTAAATATAGAAGCGATATTTGGAGAGTGCATTTGGAACAGCGGCGATGGGAGTTTCTATTTGAAACATTGATGTGCCCTAGCTGCCCTTGTTCGCGCTCTATCTCTATATTTCCCTCTGTTCCATTCTATTATGAAAATACTTGAAAGACCGATATTTAGACAGTTCATTTAGAATAGCGGCAATGTGAGTTTGCATTTGAAACGCTGTGCTCTTTAGTCTGTGTTCTCGCTAACCTCGCTTACACACACACACTTAAATATACTTTGGCTCCCTCTCACTCCTTCTACGCTCTTTGTAGCTGATTAGTTTTCTGAATAGAAAGCCCGCTGTGAAATATAAAGTGAAAGCAAGTAATTGTGAGACAACTCAAGTTGCTGACGAACTTTTTGGAAGTATTCATTATAGCTATAAGTATAAATATATATCATATATATATATACATCAATATATATAAATACATAACTTTTATATATATACATATATATTAAGATATGGCAATTCTTCAATTTTAATTGGTTTTTTGGCAGCATTTAGTTATTTGGCATTATTAATATTATCTTGTCAAACCATAATCAGTTCTTTAAGCCGCCCAAACAGCGCTCTTGATGAAATACATTTCTTTTTTGTTGCGGCTAACATGGCGTATGCTTAATATGTCGTCGCTCAATATGCCGCATGCTTAATAAACGTTCAGCTAATTAATTAAGTTAAATATTAATTAATAAATTTTGTTGTCTGCTTGCCGAGGTGAAACCAACAACAGCAGCAACAACAGCAGCAACAACAGCAGCAACAACAGCAACTGCCTTAAAGCTGACACGGTCCGCTTACCGTTGCAAGTCATGCAATTAAGCAAATGATAAATCTATCATTATGTAGCCAATATGTGAGTGTGTGTGTGTGTGTTGGTGTGGGGTCGAGTGAAGGGGCAAATGTAATTGTTGCGTGTGGTCAGTGGGCCACAAGTTGTTTGCTGTTGTCGTTCGCAGTGCGCTCGTCTGGCGTCCGGCGTCCGCGTCAAGTGTTTGTCCAGCTCCGTTCAACATGACGAATGCGCGATAATTCCATTTGCGCTCCCCGCGCTCTATTGTGCTGTCGTGTTGGCAACAGGACTGCAGCATATTTGCTGGTATTTATAATCTGCTCATTATTTGTATTTAAATAGGCACCCACCCGCCCGCCGTCACGCTCCCCGAATGCCACAACAATTCTATCTAATGCACATCTGTTATGTGTTTGGCCATCGTAGCTGTTGTTGCCCTTGTTGTTGTTGTGCCTCGCTGCCTGGCTGTGTGGCTGGCTAACAACAAATTGAAGGGAAATGATTCCATTTCATGCTAGATTAAACATGTGTCCACATAATTTATCGATTATTTATCATGTGGTCGCCCGTTTGTTTGTCGACAAACTGACGCACCGCCTGCCGGGCCCGGCCGAAAGTACTATAAGTGTGTGCGAGGGCCTGTGTCTCGGTGTGGGCGTGCGCGTGGGCGTGGGCCTAGGCCTTTGCCATGATATTGCGCACACAAGTGCAAAATTAGAAACAAAAGCTCAGCCCAAGGCGCTCTCTGGCCATTCGCTTCATGCGATTCCCAGCGCAGTTGCCTCGCACTCACTCGTAGCAAACATTTCGCAGTTCGCAGTTCGCAGTTCGCTGTGGCTAGCATTTTTTTTCTACGCTCTACGCACTGCATTTTTAACGTGCACACATACACTAACACACTGCAAAAAAAAAACTACACAGCAAATGGCAGCCATTTTGTAATCCGCATGCGGCTGGCTGGGTAATCACCTCATCCTCGTCCAGCTTCCCTCACGTGCAGCGGCTTTTGGCCGGGCTTTTGCGGCACATTGGCGCATTATGTGGCCGGCTCTATGGATGTTGTGATTTTGTTTCCCTTTTTTGTTTTTCCCATTTTCCGTCTTTATTATTTTGCGCTGGTCAGTCGATCGATATTTTAAAGCTTAGCCAAATGGCGTGGCTGTGCTAAGCGCATAAAACTATTCCAGCGAGAGCACCACAATTGCCAGCTTTGGCTGCTCCAAACGCATTATGGCACAGCCAGAGCCGCAGCTGTCATGGTTTTATCTAATTTGCCAAAAATGGCTGCGCATTGACGGAACTGTGGCTTCCCATTGATTGTTTCATCTATGGCTTTATATATAAGTATAGATAAATTGATAAAAATAAATTGAAATATTTATAAAATTGATATCTACTCTAACTGTGAATGCCTTCTCTTTCCACAGATGGTGACATTCTGCGCGTTCTGGTCAACAACTCGGCGCAAATCAAGTGCGATGTCAGCTCCAACTTGCCGGACGACAAGGTGCTGCTCGTCGTTTGGTACAAGAACAATTTGCCCATCTACAGGTAGGTTCACCTAAGCACCGTCTTGATGTAGAGCTGCGCTCGTACAACTATTGCACTCCACAGCTATGACACCCGGGGCGCCCACGCGGGCACGCCCTCGCACTGGAGAGATGAGGAGGTACTCGAGGATCGCGCCGTCTTTCGCACGCACAAGGAGCCCGCGGAACTGATTATAAGTCCGGTCAAGGTAAGCATTAGCCCAAAACTGAAAGAGCCCAAAGGGTCAGCTGTACGGCATTCCCTAATTGAATTCCCCATTGTGCCGCACCACTCGACAGGAAAAGGATGCGGGCAACTTTCGCTGTCGCGTGGACTTCAAGCTGTCGCAAACCAGGAACAGCAACGTCAACTTGGAAGTCGTGGGTGCGTATTCAATGAATTGATTGGGGTTAAGAAAAGATTATATAATTGATATACATACATAAAATGTATAAGCATATTAATATATATGCAAATATTCAAATATATATATATATATATATATATATATATATATATATTTGAATTTTTTCTTTTGCTTCAAGTTTGTTATTGTTTTATGATTATAATTTTGTGCTTGTTGTGAATTTATAATTAATTATTTTGCACAACTTATGAATTATATTCAATTTAATATTGATTTTTAGAAATAATTATTTTTATTATAAATAATTAAAATAAATGGGTATACTTAGACACAAGTCAGACTTCATTTTAATTATATATTATTTCTGTAAATAAAATGGAATTCTTAAAATCCATACAGCTTATATATTTCAATTAATTTAAATATATATTATTAATTTTAAATAGAAAAATTTTAATAAAATCGCTACAAAATTAATTATTTCTTTGGCAAAGAGAAAATTCTGTTTTTATTGTAACTAAAATATTAATAAATCTAATGAAATTCCAAAAATAGCAACCTGATTGAAAATCCACATATATTTTATATAATTTTCTAAAATAAATAACTTTACAGTGACGCGTGAAAATGTGCTAAAAATGGAATGTAGAAAAATGGCAAATTTAAATTCTGTCAATTTGATTTATCATATTTAATTTATGCAAATTATTTGTGTGTTGGCACGTCAAGATGCACATACAAAAAATGTAATTAACAATTATTAGCCTTTTCTTTTGCATTGCTGCGGACTGCACACATAAATTAGCTGAAATGATTTTTCGGTTAGCCGCAAAGCAAACAATTTAATATGCAAATCTACATGCGTGTGTAAACATGGCATATTCAGTGCGTATGCGCATATATGCATGCATGTTCATATGTAAATATTTACTGCAGCTGAATTCCCTTTGATGTTGCGCCATGCACAAATTGTATGTGATTTGTGGCTGGCGAATGCTTTCAATATGTCAATTTGGGTCTTTGGCTTAGCCGGAATTGATTGGGCAAATGGATGTGCCGCACAACTAATTGGTCGACTCTCATTCCCTATTTATAGTGCCCCCGCATCAGCCGAACATTTACAATGAGCGTCGCATGCGCATCGATTCCCGAGCAGGACCCTACGAGGAGGGCGGCAGCCTGGAGGTAACCTGCGTTGTCTATGGCGGTAAGTACCCGAGCTTTTTTGGCATTCAGATCCACGTAGAACCTGGCCCGGGGCAGATGCTATGGATTGCAAGAAGCAATTAAAGTTTACAAGCTTCGTTAAAACATAAATTTTCGTGCACGAAACTTATCAGAAATTAAAATCGCGCTTAAGAAATGAAAAACAATTCGCAGAAGGTGGGGCCGGCTGTCCTGGCCGGTGGGCCAGACAATGGGCCGTCGCATAAACAACAAATAATAAATAAGGTAAACAGCATTGTAATTGTTGAGAGAGAACGCCACAAAAGTCAACGAACATAAAAACTCAATTGAAAGCGAACGGCGAATGGAAATGAGGAAGGGAACCGCCACAGTCAATTTCTCAAATATATATATATATATATATACGTATACAACAAGCACAAAAGGATTAAAAATTATCGACTAGACACACAGCTAGCGAGAGAGAGCGAGAGCGAGCGAGAGGGTGAGCTAGAGACAGTGTGAGCGAGGCAGGAGGAGAGGCAAACAAAGTCAAAAGAAAGAAAAAGCTGCTTTTCAGCATAGCCAAACAATTGTTAAGTACACACAAAAAAAGAGGAAGAAGAGGAGGAGGAGGAGGAGGAGGAGGAGCAGGAAGAGGAGGAGGCGGCAGTCAACTGGCATTTTCCAGCATTGAAAGCATAAGCGACAGGCTGACAACTGCTACTACAAACAATCACACACTCACACGCACACACACACACATACATATGTGCCATACAACACTTAAGTCAATTGTTGATAACGCAAACCAACAGAAAAATAAAAAAAGGAAAGAAAGAAAATAAGGCGAAAATGCCAATAGTGAAAAAAGAAAACTCGACACTGGGCATTGTGGGCCTTGTGTTTCAAGCCGGGGCCAAATAACAATGGGCAACACTCGCAATAAGTATGTCACACTCAACACTAACAACAGCAGCAACAGCAGCAACAACAACAACAACAATGACGAGAGCAAGAACAACAGCAATCGCGTGCTTTATCGCTGCGGACTGCGAACCACGAACTGGCGAAACTCTCTGGGCAAAACGGAAGCGAAACCACTTTGAATGGTTTGACATGTCAACGTTGACATAAAATAAATCACTAGCAAGAAAACTGCACTCCAGACTACCAACTGCCAACTTCCAGCTGGCAGCCGGGCCTAGCCGAACGGGTTGGCCCAAAACCCCATTTTAGCCACACACAAAAAATTGGGCACTCTAACTGTTCTGAGTGTGTGTGTGTGTGCCAATTAAGCGGAGCCAAGAAATTGTTGCTAAACGCACCACCATATAAAAGTACAAATGTGAATATATATCTATATATGCACACACATATATATACATATATAAGCTGGAAGAGCTTAGAGTGGGCGGCTGGCTGGTGGGAGGGGTAGGTTGCCTGATTAAAAGTTCTTTGAAAGTTGGCAGGAGCAGCACTTGGTCAGGCCTGTTGACAGCCGAGCGAAAGCGTTTTTGAAAGTGAATAAGAAATGAACGGCAAATGGAACATTGTAAATATTAATGAATAGAAATTTTAGCTTTTTTTTTAATGGAATATGAGAAATAATTAGTTGTGATTAATAAAATATAAGAAAGCTAATTTATAATAGAGCTCAGTGTGAGTGTGAGTGTGAGAGGGGGACAAATAAATGTCACTCAACTCAAATTAAATGATTGCAGTCAATGGAATTTTTAATGCATAAATAAAGAGCTTTGCTCTTGTAGAGTAAAATATAGTACTTATTGTACTCTTATTAAAGGTATATTCAGATGATAACTCAATGCTATCTAGCTGCATGCTGACCCCACCCATTGCTAATAGTCCGATCAGATTCACATTAGACCAAAAACTGCCGTGAATTCCAGCTATGTGTCAATTTGAAAATCTATGCAATTAAACGCTGAACAGAAGCCGGATATAAATTACGGGCAATGTGCTCAGCCGGCAATCAGGAAGGACAGCACAAAGAGAACAAATTCGAAGTCTACGCTCGACATGCAAAGTCCATTACAAAAATTGCAATTGTGTGGAAAAGTTAGAGTAAAAAAGAAGAAATAATAATAATATAAAGGGGAAGAGACAGAGAAAGAGAGAGAGAGAGGGAGAAAGAAAGAGCGGCGGCACTTAAAGAAGTGCAATCAGCAGAAGTAAGTCAAAGCGAAGCAGTGGGTCGATGGGGCTGGCAATGAGCGCGCGCCTATGCCAAGTAATTTGGACTCTTTGGGTGGCTTGAGGGTGTGCGAATCGAGTAAGTGGCACTAAATTTTATTGCACTCAGTGCTGGGGCGGGATGGGGCCATCGAATAGAGCTCTGGAGCAGACCCGGCGCTGCCAACAGTTGCAAATGAGTGCGACACGCCAACGGGCTGCAAATGCTGCGGCAGAAATAAAGTTATAAAGCCGCACAGTCTGTGGGGGTTGTAAAAATTGCGCTCCTTAAACGCCCCACACCCACGCCCACGCCCACACCCACACCCACACCCACTCCACAACAGGCATTAGGGATCATAGAGCATACATCCGCGGCTGCTATGGGGGCCCAGCTGCTAATGCATAATATTTCGCGTTGCCTACTTTTTGGCACGTCATGAATTTAACACACGGCGCCTTTTGCCGTTGCCACACACACACACACAATGTCAGCGTGTGTGTGTGGCAAACGGAAGTGCAGGCGTTTTCCGCTTTTGCCAAAGTGCGCCGCTGACATAGTAAAAATATTCTTTTCTTCTTTGTTGTTATGTTGGCCACACTCCTCCTCCTCCACCTCCTCTTCCTTCTCCTGCTGCTGCTGCTGCTGCTGCAGCTGCTGCTGGCACTATTTGCAGGTGTTGTTACTGTGGCCAGGCTGTTGGCTACAAAATTGTGTGCATTTCTATTAAATTTTTCTTCTATTTCTCCATATTTTGTGCACGGAAATGTAACAATACGGCGAACCTGGCAAGAAATTGTTTACCACAGAGCAAAGGGAACTGTTCAAAAGAGAGTGTGAGAGAGTAAGAGAGAGAGAGAGAGAGAGAGAGAGAGTGAGACTAAAAGAGTTCGCTGTGAAATGCATGCCACAAATTTTTGCAACTGTTTTGCATAATATTTTATACATTTTGCACTTATTGTGCCGGACTCTATTTTGTGGCTCTAACCGCACGTCAGTTGCATTACTTGAAGTGGGCGTGGCACTGTTTTAGTGGGCAAATTTATATACCTCTTCTATAAAAGTCTATAAATTGACTGTTGCAATGGATCATCTGAATTCATATTTAGTACTCGAAAGTGAAATGAAGACGAAGATTCTCAATTTAAGCTTCTTGGGGCATCATTTGCATACTCCAGCAGCCTGTCAACGTAGTACTTTAAGGAGATCAGCTCTGCTTTCAGCTTTTCTGATAGTTCGCTAGTCTCAGTTAGCGGGAAATTCGCATTTAAATTCAGGCGCGCACAGCCAGCAAAGTTTTCGACCCCATGCAGATGTCTGTTATTGTTCCAACTAAATGCGGTAACACTCACTGAACAACGGGAGTGAAACTTGCCACAGCCACGCCCCTTTTTTTGACCAACTCTGTTGAACAAATGACAACTTAGCAATTCAAGAAGAGATTGAGTGCGAGTTGCTTCCTGTTTTTGTTTGCTGTTCGGCTGGCAGCTCTTAAAGCGGGAGCAGGAGTCTTTAAATTTATTTTACAGCTTCCTCAATGGCCGTTGGCTGGGCGCAAAAAGCCAAATGCCAAGCAGCAGACACACAAAACACAAATACAAACACACACACACACACACACAGACAGGCAGACTGAAAGAACTGAAAGTGGAGAAAAGACAACAGCATAAAAAGTATTTATGTGGCAGTGCACTTTTGTTACTATCAGCAGCAGCAGCAGGAGCAGGAGCAGGAGAAGGAGCAGTAGCAGGAGAAGGAGCAGCAGCAGGAGCAGCAGTTGTTTCTGTTGTAGTTTCACTCGCTCTTCCATCTGTGGGACATTCACACACACGACTGTTTCGTGCCTTCTGCTGCTTGTATCACCCGCACAGCAGATGCAAAAGATGCAAAGATATGCAAAGCTAAACAAGCAAATATTTCAGAATTGCATAACTAACACAAGTCCACACATGCACGCACACAGCAGATCTCTGCATGACTCTCCCTTTTTTTCTCGCTTCCCCCCCTACCTTCCCACTCTCATGACCCCCGCACCGGCAAATAGCACAATGAGCAGACGGCTGCATTAGCGGCTGTGCCTTGCGCACAAAAGTATGCAACGACTTTAAGTTCGCATGAGCAAATACAAAAAATATATAAAATGCGAGAAAAAAAACAAATAAAACTGGCGCCCATTTGAATAGTGGCGCTCATTAGGGCCGTAAGGCGGGGGCGGCTCGGCAATGGAGTTTGCACTGGGCGTGACAAAGCAATGTTAAAATGTCGCTGCTGGCACAAAAACCCGCTTTAGCTTGCTCTAAAAATACCGCTGCACTTGCATGAAAAATATATACTTATATACATATGTATGAAAAAATGAAACAGAAATTAAGGCAAGAATAATGAAAATACATGACTTTAAGATACGCTGTAAATATTAAAAATATAATTGAGGAAGAATGGGAATAGTAAATGCTGCTTAGATAAACATAAAAGAATCTCTATATAATATTCCATATACAATCATAGTGTAGCTGAGTATGCTCTCAATGGAAATCGGTCTACTTATAGGGTATGTGTGCAAGAAACGTAAAGCTGCAAACATTCCACACATGAGTGTGTGTGTGTGTGTGTGTGTGTTCATTGCAATGCAAGTCAGCTTTTCTGCCAGCCAGAAAAGGCACATATAGAGCACATATTTGCAGACCCACACACACACACATGTGCATGGGTGTATGTGTGCTTGTGTGTGCTGGCACCTTGTGTTGATGCTAGACAAGCTGCAAACAGCTGGCACGACTTTAAAATGAAAGCGCAAGTTGAGCCAAGCGATAAACACGACAAATGCTGCCCATAAAAGACAATGGCCAAGGGGTTGAGCTGTGGGCGGAGCAAAACAAACGTCTGGACGCTAATTAAATTTGTCCTCCTCGCCGAGCGGCTCTCAAGTAAAAGCGAATGCGAGGCAAATTAGTTGAATTTATGTGCGAACTGCACGCACATTGCCCCAGTCAGGAGAGCAGCACGTGGCCGGCCTGCAGCACTCACAGCAATTGCTTTGAGCTAGCAAAAAAAAAAGAGAGAGAGGGAGAGAAAAACTGCATTGCTAAATCAAATTTGGTCGTATGCCATTTTTGTTTTGTTTTATTGCTTTCTCTCTATACTATATCTCTCTCACTCACCCTCGTTCAGTCTCCCTTTTCTATGTATCGAGTGCTCTTTTTCTTTGTTGCTGTTTCTGGGAGGCTAATAAATCACAGGCGACCATTAAGCCGCATACTACATATGCGCTAATCTACTAACACACACACATGCGCAGACAAATGCTGCGACCTCAAAACACACACACACACACACAGACACCCACACCCATGTATGGCTGTGTGTGCATTGAGCGCTATTTGTTTGAGTGTGTGAAATATTTTCATAAACAACATAAAACTCGACCAAATGGCAGTTATTAATCAAAGTAATGTGCGTTTATTTGTGTGTGTGTGTGTGTGTGGGAGTGTCTCTGTGTGCGTTGGGTATTTTTCATAGGTATCAAGTGCAGTTAGTTTTGCTCAATTTGCAGGTGGATTTAATGGCACTTGGCAGCACAGGACAACAACAAAACACTTTGCTCGTAATATTTGTGTAGACTAAATAAGTATACTCGAATCATATATAAAATATAATGATGGCCCCCACAGCCTAGCCTAATATATGATCTAAACACTGCAAAATAATGTTAAGCAAAAAGAAAACAATGGAATCTCATAATAATGAAGCATGGAAATCCCTCTAGAGTGAATAAATTCATCAAAATTCTGGCTTAGCTAATTATGGATTTATTACCACACACAACAAGTGCTCAGTGGGGCTCTTTGGTGGTTTCACTAACAAATTCCTGACTCGCTTACCTTTTGTATATTACAGTGTAGAGTTCCTTTGTAGATATGCCTTGACCGTGGCCATTAAATTAATGTGCGCTCATATACGCACACAAAAGCTAATTTCAGTGCTTGATTAAGTTGAAGTCGTTAAGAGCGCCCAAGTGCCACACGCTGCGTATGAGTAATGTGAGTTGATTCAAGTGCCACGACAGCGACAATGTTGATGGCGTCTAGCCTGCCAGCCAGCTAGCTAGCTAGCGAAGCACTCTACTAAATCAGAGACACTAATCAATGAGTAATTACAGCCAAACCTGTAAACAGAAATTCCAGCAATGATCATTCATATTTTATGCTGGGCTTAAGATTATTTTTCGTTTTTTTTTTTAAAATCAATGCATATGCTTTCATCTTTACATTATACAGTTCAAGCAAAAGTGCTTTAGCCCTGAATTAATCATATTTGTCAGGCCGTTGCCCACCTTAAGTATGGCACATCCACCCAATGTTCCGACCATTTGAAACTTTTCTCATTCGCATTCGCTTTGGCTACCCCCACAGGCTCGCCGCCGCCGACTGTCACCTGGCTGATGAATGGACAGCTGCAGAATAGCGTCGTCGATTACACATACGACGGCACCATCAACAGCAAATTGGTGGTGCGGAACTTGTCACGCATCCACCAGCATGCGGTCTACACGTGCCAGGCGAGCAATTTCCACAAGAAGCATGTGGCCACCAATATAACGATTGAGCTCTATTGTAAGTACTGTCCAGCTATCCATGACATTACATTATGTTTATATTATATACAAATTATATACATATGTATATAGCTATACCAATTCGGCCTGGTTGCCGTTGTTGACTTCGTGTTGGGTCACTTAAATTGAAAAATTTTAAATTGAGTTTCAAGTGTTTGCAGACGTCAGCAACAACAACAACAACAACGCGAGTAAATGTACGAAATATGGTGCTAAAAACGGTTGGCCAAACAGTTTATTTATTTATTTTTCTTCTTTTTTTTTTGGGCCAACCTGCAGCACGGTTTTAAGCGTTGCGATAAAACTTTTAACAAATAGCTGTGCAGATAAAACCCATTCACGGCCAACGCAAAAAAAAAAAAGAAAATGGCAGTAGTCGAATGGCACAAAAAATATAATAGATAATAAAATGGCTTATGTAAATATTACAAATAAAAACCAACAGCAACAGCAACAACAACAACAACAACAAATTCTATTTTGAACGTCTGTTCGATTGTCCTGAACTGTGGCACCCACATATTGTATGTAGCTGCAGCTGTTTTTAGTTTGGACATATTTGCTGCATTTAACACACGCGGAGAGAGAGGGAGAGAGAAAGAGAGAGAGATGGACACGCAGAGGCATGCATAAATTTGTTTTATCCAAATGCATTTCCAAACGGATTTATTATTTCGTGAGCATTTTTTTTTTTTTTTTTAATTGCCCTTTCGCACGACACTGAATTGCATAGTAAATTTAAAAATTGTTTTAAATTGCTGCCAATTTGTGTGCGTGTGCGTGTGTGAAAGGGAAAAGTTCTGCGCTTGATCCTGTAAGCCTTATTAGTATTTACTCTCTTTGATGCAATCAGAGCCGTGTAAAATGCTGATGTCGAATTTGCTTTTATGCAATTTGCAAATGCGATTTTCCATTTTCTTACAACCGAACTTTGTGTGTGTGCGTGTGTGTTTGCATTTTCCCACTGGATTCAGTTTTACAGAGAGCAATTCGATTTTCCCCTTTTTTAAGTCTACATTTTTAAATAATATTTATTTTTAATTAAGCTAATGGAAACTAAAAGCGAGAATTATTGCAAGTGCTGATCGGCTCTATATGTTGGTTACTTGCTTCAAGAAATTTTCTCAAGAATTTACACAAATCGATTCTGTTTAGTTTTACTGATTTCCAATAATTCTAAGAAAAGAAAACCTTAGTGAAATTATCTCTAAAATAAAAGCCAAGCATGTTTTTAACTAAATGCAGGTTAAACATATTCATTTCAAGACAATATCAGACCGGAGTCTCTTCGTAATTCGTATTCACCCCCTCGCAGCTTTATTGCGCTTGTGCAACTTTCAGTGCTTGGCATTATTTAGTCATTAACTTGGCTAACAGCCAACAAATGGCGTTTCTATATTTTTGAATAGCTCGCTATTAATAATACTTTCATGTAAAGTGCCAAATAAATAAAGAAACTTTTGCCAAACAATACCCAAAGCCCGGGCACAGCTCCTGTTGCATTGCGCCAGCCCCCAACTCCGACCGTTGCCGTTGCCGTTGCCATTGCCAAATATTATGCCCCAGGCATTGCGCTAACAGCTAAAGATTGCCCATTGAATTTTATGGCACTTCGGAGTCGCGCTCACTCTACTCTATCGCTGTCTCTCTCACTCTGTCGCTGTCTGTCCCACTCTGTGGAGCGGCCAGAAAAGCAATTGCTGTCAATTTTTACTTAGGCCTGGGCTAATAAAAGTAAAAATGTTTTGCGACAACAGATGGTGATGCGCATATTTGATATTATTGTGCCGTACACACACACACACACACACACACACTCACATGCACGTGTACGTGCGACAAGAGTGTCGCACTTAGACAGCATAAAATTTAACACGTCAATAATAAAAGCGCTGAAATTATTGGCCAAATGCGTTCGAGAATGTGGACAACAACAACAACAACGACTGAAATGTCATTGGCTACCCGAATCGTGTTAATTAATATGGCAGACAAGTAGCCATATAAGAAGCATTGATATCAACGTCCCTACACTGCCAAGCATATTAGTTTTATGGCCCAGCACTTGACCTTGGCTAACTGGCTTTGGCTAGAAGGGAAAAGTGTGTGTGCCTTGGCTTGTTGCGTGGCCACGGAAATTCGTGAGGCTCTTGGCTCTTAGCGTTTGGCTGTGTGCGTGTCGCAGGCAGGCAAAAAGTTTTGAATAATAAGTATGACCTTAATTAGGTAATTTTATGGCCACTAACAATTAGATTACTAATGTCACGACTCTCGCACGCGCATCAGGCACCAAACATCAGCGGCATATCCAGCTCATTAGCGCACATGTTAAGTAGTTCACATTTAAAATAGAAAAACCTCTAAGTAGCAGCCACTGATGAACTGTAAATTGCCTTGTTTATAGTTTGAATTGATAAATGAGTTGAAATATTTCTAGATTTCATTTTATAGTAATTTCGGTCGATTTCAAGATGCCACTGAAGTTGCGAAGAGGGAATGAGGCTTGGCAGGGCCTATAGGATATATAGAGAGCTGCATGAATGCCCAAAACAATAATTAATAATTAAAAATGCCCCATAATTAATTTATTGGAATTATCAAGTCGCGAAATTCGTTAGAGCTAATCCGATAACCATTTGAGTGAAAGATTGCGCTTCTATATGACTCGGAGGCGGAAAGTTCAATCGAGCAAAAAAGAGTCGAAGGAGTGGGAGTGCGAGTGCGAGCTAATGAGTTGAGTAAATGAGTTGCTGAGGTCGCATACAAGCACAAAAATGTTGTAGAATATATATATTTAAGTAGCAAGGGGCCTTTAAGTGTGGGCTCTCGCCGTTTTCATCAAACAATTTTCATGGGCAGGGCAGACATTTGTACGATTTCTGTACACTCTTCACTCAGAAGCGAAGAGATGGATATCATAAGAGTGAGATTGAGAGAGAGAGAGAGAGAAAGAGAGAGAGAGAAAGAAAGAGAGTGAGAGAGAGTGAGAGAGCATAGCAACTGAAAAAGTGATCATTCCGTTTGAGTGCCGCTCACAGCGCACTGATTCTGCCGTGTCTTAGTTTCACTGCTAGGGCAACAAGCTACCGAGCCGAGAAAACACGAAATAGTAATACGAAGTAGTTTATGCATGCATAAGCTCGACGGACTCAACGCCTTTACTCTCTGGCAACTTTTGGGTAAAGCCTCATTAGTTATCTCTCTCAACTCAAACTCACTCAAGACGCTTTTTCATAACGAATGGACCCTATGCATATCATGCCATAGATTTCTCATCAGATTCGTTAATCTCGCTGCGAGCTAGTTATATAGGTCTGTCCATCCGTCTGTCCCTCCATCTGTCCGTCTGTTAGAGTTGAGCACGTATTCTCGATAGAGTTCGCTCGACGTTTAGCAACTATTCTATTCATTTAATTTGTTGACAATTTGAACAATTTAAATGTCTAATTATTAAAAAAAGGCTCGTTTGCATAATTAATCAAGCTCAGCCAGTGGAGATGCCTCTCGTTGCCTGTTTAATTAAACATTTTAATGGTTGTCCAATGCAAATGTACATAATTAATTTAATTACAATCAAGTGTTACAGAAAATTAAAGGCAGAAAAAAAATACTATGAACCACACAAACACACACACACGCATGCACATACTCTGGGGTCCAACCACATAGGTACACGTGTTGTTTCAATAAAAACATAATAATAAGAATATAACCAATACACACACACACACACACACACACACACATATCAATGCGGTCGCATTCAACATTTTTTATTTCATTTGATATTTTTATTGCATTTTGGCTTAACTGAAATGTCATGCCTTTAAATTAATGCATAAAATACGCGGCCAACCGCTGTAAATGGAAAAACAACAGCAATTCCAATAAAAAAAAACTATATATTGGTTTGTTCGCATGAAAATGCATAGTTTATATGGCATATAATGCAAATAGAAAACTGAAAGCGATTCGTTTGGTTGGCCACAGATTAAATACGCTTACGCGCGATAGTAGGTTAAGAAAAAAAAAAAAAATCATAAATGAAGTCTGTGCGAGTTATTTATACCTGATTTTAAATACGACTGAGCGAAAGGATAATATTTTGGGAATGAAAATCGAACTGCTATTGATTGTGATATGGCGAACTATGTGATATGTCAACTCATGTTTCATTCAATAAATATTTACGTAATTAATTTCGTAAAGCATCGCATCAGACGCAACATTCTTATGCGAATTGCTCCCTTTCCATGGAAACCAATATGAAATACCTGCGAAAAGGGTATTAAATATTCTCGGTAAATAGTAATATTTATTTAAATTACGCTCAGAATTTCACAATTTCGTTATATATAATTTAAATTGCATTTGCTAAAGCATTTAACAAGAAAAAAAAAAGAGTAAATAAACTTGTTTTCTAGGTAATATTATGGTAACAATGTGCAAACGCGATAATGAACCTGGCCGCATTACGTGACCATGTTTACATTCTTTTCATGAACGATTTTAGCAAATATGTCTATACACACACACACACACAATTGAAGTTTAAGTGCGCTTTTTAATTTAGCATGTAAACATTTTTCAACCGCAATAAATACAAACAACATTTCACATTTTGCATCAAACAAGCAAATGATCGAAATGTAAATAATTAATATATTATATAATATATATATGCATGCTTATAGATAAACAAATATTATTTGATTTGAGTTTTAAATAATGCTGACAGATAAATTATGAAACGCCATTTGATAGTAGTGCAAAATTAATTAAATTTATTTCCATAAAATTGCAGTTACCAAATCATTGTTTGACTTTTCCCTTCGATTGGCGCAATTGATTGAGTTGCTTTGATAGAGCAATTCAGGCATACTAGACCACAGCCACAAATCAAATAAAAATTTCTTTGATTTGACATTTATACCATCTATTTTTTCACCTGATCACGACAGTCAATTATCATGTCTATTACCCAGCCGAAAGCAACAAAATACTGAAGTTTATTCAAAAAGCTTTTTGAAGCTTGTCCTTGCTGTATAATCAGTAGAAATTGAGTCTGACTTCTGCCTAATCATCGGAATCTATTTGGGACTGTGACTCTTTGATATAAATATAGGCCAGTATCTATTATTATTAGTTTGCAGTCATTCCCAACAATGAGAGAGTATTACTTATCAGTAAATCAAGGCATATAGCATTTATATATAATTTAGTTATATATATGTATATTGCATTTATATACAGGGAAAGAAAGGAAACGTGGCTGTGCTATAAAATACTTATACTTTTATATTCCACAATTATTGAAGCGTATGTATGTGCATACCTTGACATACATATATACATACATATATGTTTATTTGCTATTGTTACGCGTGTGATAGTGTTTCTGTTGTTGTTGTTGTTGTAGTTGTATACGAGTATACAGTTGTTGAATAAGCGTTGGAATCGTAATTCACCGCAATTAATTTTAATTGCGTTGCTTGTCGATTTTCATTGCGTTTTCGATTTTTCACACACAATTTGAATAAATAAACATAAATGGCAAAAAGGGAAAAGCGAAAAGAATTAAAATATGCACACATGTATATAAAAACTGCTTAAACGCCATTTAAACACATAAATTAACTATAAATATTAATGGATGCAAATACACACACACACACACACACGTATATACATTTGTGTATTTGCAGTGCGTCCACTTCTGGTAGAAATCAGCTTCAACAATCAGCCCATGTCAGCTGACCGTAAATACGAGATTGAGTGCCAGGCAATCGGATCAAGGCCGCCGGCAAAAATTACCTGGTGGATGGGCAATTTGGAGATGCACGGCCACAGCCAGAAGGTGAGTTACACCAAGTGACCCACATAAAATGTTTTCAAATTGTAACCCGCTGCGACCCCTCTAAAGGTCACCGAGGATGGCAATGCCAGCACCTCCATTCTCTCCATCACCCCAACGCGGGAGGACCACGGCAAAGCGTTGTCATGTCGCGCCACCAACGAGCTGGTGCGCAACGGCATACGAGAGACGGCCATGAAACTGAATGTCTTCTGTGAGTACTCCCAGAATTTGAGATAAATAATCAAAGCGAATATTCGATGTCAACATCATTCATATATATATTGAGTATTAGTATTATTTTATTCATTTTTTTTTTTTTTTTATAATACCCCATATAACTCTTATATGCATATATATGCATATCAACTTCAATAAATATTTATTAATAATTATTATTATTTTATTCATTTGATTTTCATAAATAATTTTTAATATTCAGCCCTAGATAACTCTTCAAAGACTACCTTAACAGTATTTTTCTGCCCCTGCCCTCAGCTTGAGCCTGTTATCAGTGCAGCTAATCAGCTTGTCAAATGGTGAACAGTCGATGCAAATGTTTCGGCTGTCTGACCCACTTCGAGTCACATATTATTCAATTCAAACAAATGGGATAGACCGGCCCCAGTTCAGCGCAATGTCAATAAAGCTTGAGGTCTGCCGCAGAGGCGGGCTCGGGCACGGGCACAGCTATCCCTGTCAAATAATTACACGCATGTTGAACACGCGCTTTATTTTATGGCCGTAAGTGGCACGTAAACTAGCCGAGGTGGGGCTTCGGGTGGCAGCACAGTCGGCAGGCGGCGGTGTCATAAAGTGTGCCGAGCGCTTATCACCCGTGTCCTCGGAATCAATACTGATTTGCATATAAATTTCATAGACATGAGGTTATTTCCATTCGGCTTTCTCGCGTTTTATTTTTTCTTTGTCTCTCGCGGCTTTCAGCCCGAATGTCAAGCGCTTGTTTTATGGGCCAAGTCAACAATATGCGCTCAAAGTTTGTTAATAAAATTTCTATGTCAAGATATTAAAAAGGCAACTTGTGCCCTACCAGCTGGCTCTATACGAGTGCTCTTCGCATAGTGTCAGCTCAAAGACTTTGACCCAGGCAGGAGCCCACACACATACATATATGTACATAAAGTATATGTAAGAGCACTTTCCTTTATGTTTCAATAGTCTCGAGAATTTCGCCAACGTTGTCGCTGTCGTTGTCGTTAGGCAAACAGTTGCCACGTCTATTATCTAAGAGTTTTTGCGCATCGTTCCCCATTGCCAGGGAAACTTTACTCCTTTCAGCAGCAGCAGCAGCAGCAGCAGCCGAAGGAGCAGCAGTAGCTGAAGGAGCAGCCTTTGCTGCCGCAGGAGCATTTCACGATGTCTGCGTGGGCGCCGTGAAGCAGACTCTCAATTTTACGCGCGTCGCTTGCTGATATAAAAAATTAGATAACAATTTCAATTTCCATGCTCATTTACATGTTTATAGCGTGCTTAAAATATTTTGGAAGCTCTTCTCTCTCTCTCTCTCTTCCTTTTCGCTTCTGCATCCTGTGATTTCCTCTCGCTTGCAAAGATTTTTGTGTCTTCTTTAAGCGCGCCGCTTGTTTGCACCGAGGGGTAAATTGAAAAGTTCCCCTGCACTTCGCTGCAAATGAGCAGCCAATAATTGTGCCATTATTCCACCTAATATGAGAATTGTCATAAAACGAAGTTATCTCAAATTTTATGAAATCTCTGCGCTGTACCTTGACCTAAATATACAGAGAAATACAGAAAAGTACAAGCAAACCGAAATGCCAGCGAGTAGCTGAGCAAAAGATTTAATTTTCCGCACAATCAACTTGAATTAAAAATGAAAATTAAATGAAACGGAAACCACTAAAAATTAAAGTCATATCCGCAATAAAAATAATGACGCAGCAGCTACCCGAAAAAGAAGAAAAAAAAAAAATGAGTAAGCTGGCGAAATATGGACAATGTCCATGCCAGAACTAAGTATGCTCAAGCAGTGGGAAGTTCCGCCAAAGCTGACTGTAAACATGTGCTGACAGGGTGAAAATTGTGAAAGCTCTGCCAGGGCCAGGGTGGGTATTGATGCTATAAATAAACCATCCATTCGAGCTTACAGCTGAGGAGGAACTTTTGAAGAGCCAAATATATTTATCAATTTGATTTTTGGCTGCATTGCCAAATCGATTGGCATATCAATGAGGGACTACTACTCGGAGCAGATGATATTGTAGTATAGGCCTTAAAAAAGATTTTCTAAGAATACAACAATTCTAATGGAAATCAGGGAACTATGTATATTCAAGCAGCCCAAGCAGAAGTTCCACATGGATTCCGGCTTATAGGATTTATTTAATTGAATACCCAGAACTAATGTTTTCCAGCCAAAGTTGAGTGTTGTCTTATGCTTGAATAAAACGATTATTCACTTAGCAACTGGAGTGGTTTAATTTAGTATTTCAGTACTTTTGTCTGTCATAATACATAACACTCACCGCCAAAAGTTTGCAGCTAGTGCAGATGCACACTATTTTCAAAAACTATACACACTGCACATCTGCCATTCGCAATTAATTTAGCTCTAAGCCAATTTTTCTCAGTTTCAGTCGGTCGGGCCGGGACAGAAGTACTTTTAAGTTAATGTAATTTATATGGCCAGTGTCGGGAGAAGAAGAGAACGGAGAAGGAGAAGCAGGAGCCAGTGGAATCAATTTAAGGGCTGCTAACGAGCAGTTGTTCAACTTTTTACGCAACAGACAATGACAGGCCTCACACACTAGAAGCAGCAGGAGCAGCAGCACGAGCAGTACGAGCAGCAAGACTAGCCGAAGGAGTCGGAGGCGGCAGCACATTGCGAATGTCTGCTACAAACTGTGGCAGCGGCATTCAAAAGTCGTTAGGTTAAGCTGCAGTTACGGGTTTCGGGTTTCGGGTTTGCTTTGCTTTTGTGCTGCTGCAGTTGGACTGTGAGCCATAAAATGCATTAGCCAAGTAAAGTTGGCCAGTTTGGGCTGCTGCTGCCACTGCTGCCACTGACCAGCTTGGCCAGTGACAGTTATTACCACTTAAGCCCATCTAACCGCAACAGTGTGGCCAGCTAGCCGGCCAACCAGCCAGCCAGCCAGCCCCCTAAGCCAGTGCTCGAAGCGAGTACTGTGCTGCCCTATTCGGACGGCCATTCGCTACAAACTGGGCTTAAAGTCAACGTTAATGAACTTGTTGAGCAGCAGGCAAAAAGGTCTTTAAATTATGCAAACAACTTTTGCCTTTGTCTCTGGCCCATTCTCTCTGTCTCTGTCTCAGCCTTTGTCACTGTTTTTGCTCAAATTCTTTAGCTGGCTGTCATTCGCTGGGCTTAGGCGAGCGATTTTCATTTTCATTAACAAGTCTTTCCAAAGAGCGAAATCGGCTTAAAGAAACTTGTTTATAAAACGTGGCAAAAGAAAACAGTAAGCACAACCCAAGACCAAACTACAACAACAATGCGCCAAATAATAAGAAACCATTGCCAAGAGGAAAGGTAATGGCGCTGGGCGGGTGGCAAGGGGGCGGGGCGGTGTGCACGTACTCCTACGAAGCGACACTAATCACAGATAAGCGCAGATTAACCCCATTTCCCTTTTTTGTTGACCGTTTCTGAGTGTTTCTTTTGCGCATTTCTTTCTCCTCTTTCCTTTGTTTATTTGCCCATATATTTTTTTGACTGTGCTAAACTTGGCTCAAAGTAAAACAACAGCAAATTGCAGTTGATAGGCTCTGCCTAGACCAAGACTAAGACTACACACCCACACACACACAGACATTGACTCACACACATAAGCAACATGCAAATGTGGCCATAAATATGTGTATATATGCATTAGAATCAGCTGGTCATGTTCTCTTTTTTTTTCTCGCTCTGTTGCAGTTATACCCACCTTGCAGCTGGACCTGGGCTCGAACCTAAATCCGGAGGATATCGAGGAAGGCGATGATGTTTATTTCGAGTGTAAAGTGCATGCAAATCCCGCCGCTTATAAAGTTGTCTGGAAGCATAATGTAAGTAGCAAAAACACTTTTCAAATCCAAAGATTTATCAAGACTTATCGACTGAAACAGAGAAGAAAAGATAGAGAGTGTATGTGTGTATGAGAAAGAAAGAAAGAGAGAGAAAGACAGAGTGAGGCAAACGAGTATCTTTAGAGAGCACGAGGAGCTACTATTTGTAAATGCAGCTCATTGAAATATATATGTATATACGTATGCATGTATATGACTATATTTATATATATTTAAATCAAGAGCTATTCAGCCGCATTATGTACGCGTGACCTTCTCTAAGCACTCATTATCTGTACATGCAGAAGTGTGCAACTCGTTTGGAGCAGCACAAAATATGGCCTAAGTAGATTGACCTTCAAGTGCTCTTCAAATAGCTCAAGACAATTGTGGATACGGAAGCGAGGCTTGTACTTCCGGCAATTCCCCTGGCATTGGCGTGCAATCAATGTGTGCGTGCGTGTGTGTGTGTGTGTGGGTGTATTTGTATAGCCTGTAATAGGCAAACCGCCAGTGAATTATAATAAAACCAAAATGAAGTGGTCATTTTTACTGAATTATTGGCCAATTATTTTAAGGCAATCGAGTCAAGCGGCCCCCTCGAGTGCGGCTCAAGTCCCACTTCAGTGGGGCCCCCCAAATGTGCAAACTTTGCGTTGCAAATCATTTGTTTATTAGTTTTACAAGTAGTAAACAAAAACTTGAGCTGGCTGGCATAAGCAAAAACAATAGATAGTGAACAAGTTCAGAGGAGCAGCTCGAACAACAAGCGAATAAATAATATTCAATGTGCTCGAGCCGCAGCCAGTGAATCAAGTGTATGAATAATATGAATGCTAATTGAATTCATTAGTTGGCGCAGCAGCAGCAACAGCAGTCAAAGACCAACATGGCTGAGCACAGGGCAAACAACATCGAAGGCAACAACGACAATCAGGCATAACTTTGGCAAATGCTCATAATAAATAAACAAGAACACGGCCAGAAACTTTTCACAAAGGCAGCCAACACAAATGTGCCATGAACTTAAAGTTCGGCTATCGAAAAGAGACGGCAGATGAATAATGAAACGAGATGGCAGAGCAGAGTACGACAATGCCACAAACAGCAGAGTTGTCAGAGCACAAATCGAAAAATGCCAAATAGAAGTACATACATATATATATAGATATATACATATATATACATATTCCTTTATGGCTGTCAATCAATTTGTAGACAAATTACAATGCTAAATACAAATGGACGTTACGTGTTATATGCGCATACTAAGCGAAACGAATGTTGAAGAACAGTTACTGTGGTGACACACTGTATTTATAGAGCCAAGTTTGATTAAACTAAAACAAATTAATGGCTAATGCATCACCTGGATGACAATTCGCAGCTAAACTTACAGTTACTTATAGACAAAATCTAGCCAAGTTTGCATATATTCATAATTGGATATTTCGAGTGCTGCCACAACATAAATTGCATTCTTATTAGTTGTCACCATAACAAAAGGCTTACAAGCAATAAGTGCGAGACAGACAGATGGCTGGATGGATGGTGTGTGAGCGAGCGATTTACACGCACATGCAAATTGCAGCTCATGTCGCTGTTGACAGGGCTAACAAGAGGACTAAACAGTTAGTTAGTTGCTTGCCAGCCAATTGACTTGCTCAACGTCATAACAATAAAAGCTGAGTGCGAAGCAAAAAGCGCTAACGGAAATGAAATGGAAATGGGGGAGAGAGAAGGACCACAAAACAGAGGGAAACAGACACAGAGCGATAGCAATGGGGAAGCAGTGGCTAAATACAATTGGCTATGTATTCAGTTTCTTTATGTGCTGTCTGAATTGTGTCGAGCTCACATGGCGTATGCGTAATTAGTCCGGGCCAAGCCTTACGCTCAGTGCGTACTTACAGCAGGCAAAAGGAGAAGCAACGACAAGGGCTAAGCGAAAGTCAAATGCAAGTCAAGTGCAAAGCAGTCCATTGTCAAATTGGAAACAGCAATTTGTGGGCAATTTCAATTGGAATTAAATTAAATAAACTTGTGTGTGTGTGTGTGTGTGTGTGGCAACTTTTGTTTTCGCAGACGGACAGCCGTCAGACTTGGCTCAATAATGAACTAGATTGATTATGGCATTGTGTATCTCGTTTCGCATTCAATGCAATTTACTTAATCAAAAGCTGAGTCTTCACTCGTCAAGCGCAAGTGGTTTTGGCCACGTTACGGCTTCAAGTCCACGCACGTAATATATGGAGATATATATTTATAGCTGTAATACGTGCGTGTGTGTATGTGTGTGTGTTTGTGTAAACAATGACAGAGGACAACTGTGTTAAATTGTTGTTGGCGTCGCTTTGTCTTTGTCAGTTATTATTCAATTATGCATGCCAACAATTAACGACGAGCTGGCAAATTAAATTAACAATTAGTTTTATTAAACTTGAAGCAAAACTTTTACCTCTTTGAGTGTGCGTGTGCGTGTGCGTGAGCGTGTGTGTCGATGTGTAAGTGTTTGTGTGTGTGTGTGTGTGTGGTAAACTTTTGCATGCTCATTAAGAAGCTGGCAACAACTTTGATGGAAGACGTTGCCAGCGCAACCGACCAGCAATCGTTGTGCAGAGGGTAAAAACGCAAAGACCGATTTCTGCATGCTTCTGGCAGCAAAAGTTATTTAACACATGCGCATGTATGAAAGCGTCTCTTTGTATATATATATATGTGTGTGTGTGTGTGAGTGCACTTATTTGTCTTAATGGAAGTGCTGAAATAGCAAACATAAACGGAAAATTTGATTAGAACTGAAACGAGCAATAACACAAAGCAATTTTAGCTACAATTTATTAAAGTCTGAATGAGAATTGCTTTTGTGATACGGCATAGACAGAAGAAGAGATCAAATATAAATATTTGTAATATTAATAATAATATTAATGCAAAGTAATAAACACACAATTTGATTGAGGAAGAAGCTAAATGCATTTATATTCTAGTTTTCTATATTTTTAAAAATAGTTACATATTATATATATACAAAGTTAATCGACTTTCGATAACCAGAAAAATAAATAGACTTGAACGGGAATCATTTCCATGGAATATAGCTCTCGCTCTAGCTTAACTAAGCATTCGATTCCAAGAAAACAGTTTTAAAGTGCAAAGCGGCTTTCAAGTTGCTCAGATTATTCTGTCAGATGTGTAGGAAACTCAATTTGCCGTGCTCAAAGGCGAATTGATAGTCAATGCGTATGTCGGAAAGTTTTTGGTGACTTTTGAATGGCACGAAATGAGGCATAAATCTAGTTAAAATACCAAGAAATGTGTAGTTGATGCGAGGGCAAGGAAAATGTTGTTCAACTCGTAGAGGGCAGCCCAATCAGACTGTCCATTAAGCAAATGGTCAACACTAATTGGGTATTTATTGTAGCCGTAGCCGTCGAAGCAGTGGGTCTGGTGGCGGGGGCGTGGCGCCAGGCAAACACAAACATGTCAAGGCGCTTGTCTCTGCAGACAGACAAATAAAATGGCAGCGCATAAAATGCGCCATTAGCACTGTGGGGGGGTCTGGCGAGGGGCGGGCGGTAGGCAGCTGGCAAAAGGGTTGTGCGAACGGCAGCAAGCTGAGCAGAACGGAAAAGCCAGTGCGGAAAAGCTGCTGCGGATGTGCCTTCAACTATTGAAATAATCCTCAACTGAGACGGAACGCAGTGGAACCCACCTTATTTATTTTTTTATTTGTTTACTTATTCACTTTTACTTTAGTTGTGTGTGTGTGTGTGCGTATTTTTTCTATTGCTCCTTGTTTGCTGTTTGTGTGACAACCTTGAACTTTATTTACTTTTGTGTGCCTGGCGACATTTTTATTTGTTTTATGACAAGAGCAACAACAGCGGTCGCTGATAAGGGCGCTGGCAAGCGGCAGCCAACATCTTGGGGGTTATTTAAGTGAGGCCCGCGGGAGCAGTGCGAATAGGGGTCAAGCGAAGTGCGAGTGGGAGTGGGAGTGGGAGTGGGAGTGGTCGTGGCCTCAGCGGGCTTTAAGGCTGTGTGCTCGCTGCTCGCTGTGTGCGCCAGGAGTTTAAAGTGCGCGCTATATACATAAATATTAAGCATACGCCGTGTTGGCCTTAGAGAATAGATAAGATCAAGCAACAAAATATCGATATATATGGAATATGTGTCTGTATGTTTATATATTTGTGCAAACATTCTGTTGTTGACCGACGGGCCGAACTATCTGGCTGATCCACAATGGTGGATTGTGGCTCCACTGCCAATGCCACACACACACACACATACACTAACACAGTGGAATCAAAGCTGTGGCCCAGTTCTCGGCAAAGCAGGCAGCACTATTATTAAAGTGTTGCCACATTGCATTGTTTGTCCGCGTTTATTGTATACTATTTGCACATATTCTCAACTGTATTTGCGCCACATTCTACTTATGCATACACATACCTATGTCTATGTGTGTGTGTGTGTGTGTGTGTGCTAAGGTCATGCTGGCTTTGTTCGCCTTGCCGTTTGTTGTTTTGCCATTTCGACTTTTGTCGACAATTTATACACACATTTTTATTTATTTCACTGTTGTTGCTGCTTTTGTTGCCATTGTTCGTGGTTTGGTTGTTCTTGTTCTTGTTGTTGTTGCTGTTGTTGTTGTGCAAGCCAAAGTGCGAATTTGTTTTGCTGCTAAATGGCACAAGGCTCTGGGGAAATGCGTCAAAATCTTGTCGAGTGCCAGCGCATTGGGAGCGCCAAACCTCCAGCTACGATAGGCGTGGCCAGCCCACAGCTGCCAGCGTGTGTTGAGTCTATACTTATAACGCGAACGTGCTGCTCGTACAGGTCAAGTGACTGTGTGTGTATGTGTGTGTGTGTGTGTGTGTGGGTGAAATTTAAGTAAATATTGGTCGATTTTGAGCTCTTTGCTAATGCCAAACACGTTTCACACACTCACGCCCAGTGCTCTAATGAAGCGCCTCGCGTATGACTGCGCGTTTATGAGCGACCAAATTTTTAGAGGGTTAGCCTCTATAATAAATGAATGCTCCACTGACCTTCCGCCCGAGAGGCAAGCTCGCCTGGAATAGCAATGCCATTACATTTAAATTGGCGAGATTCGAAAGGCATTGATAATTTATATGGCACTGCTTGATAAATCGATTTCAAATTTATCGCAACACAATAAAAATGAAATTAGAAACTGTGATTTATAAGAAATGCGAACTTTTCGTATAATATTGTAATACACTTTAAAGGCAGATCTTAGAAATAAAATGAATGATATAATGAAATTCAATATTCAGTAATTTATTTTATTTAATATATTTTATTTTAATAGTGTTTAATTGGCTTCGCTTGAGAGTTTGCATTGATCGAAGGACTGGGAGCAAAGCTTATAAATGCTCCGCAATGAATTGCGTATGCGGCGTATACGTAATTGCATTAATTGATGCAGCTTTTCTTGCTTGATAATCGTCTCAATGCCATTGCGAGTGCTTTAGGTATAGAATGAAAGAAAAGAAAGTTCTGATAAGTAGAAGTATGACCTAAATAGTTAAGGCACTTAACTTGATGATGACTTACGACTAATGATCATTTGGTATTTGTAATTCGCAGAATCAAATCATCCAGCATAATCAGCGGGCCGGCGTCATTGTGAGCAGCGGAGATCTGGCGCTGCAGGGCGTGACCCGTCACCAGGCTGGGAACTACACGTGCACCGCCTCCAATGTGGAAGGAGACGGCGACTCGAACATAGTCGAGCTGAAAGTGATGTGTAAGTAGAAGGACTCAACAGACTTGCTCGACTTTAAGCTATGCTAGTGCGAGGGGTGGGGCCGCGCATTGTGCTCCAACTGCGTTTCATTTATTTAGGATTTCGTTGAATTGATTGCGAGTATATAAAACGTTGTTCTTGCTCTCGACAATCGCATGTCAAGTTTTATGGGGCACGTGTTGAGTTTTATTTAGCACTTTACAAAGGGGGGAGAAAAGAAAACATACATTGCGATGAGAGGAAAACCATGCCGAAAGTTATAGCGCTGTGCAACGCTGCGTATGCGCAACATTTTAAGCGTGGCCCACATTTGACATGTGTGCGCGTCGATTTGCATGGCTCCCGCGACATTGTTATTGTGGCTGTGCTCATAAAAAACACACTGAATGGCTGCGCGGGGCTATCATTCTTTCAGCACATGGCTAAACGTACGGCTTGAGCCATTAACAAACATTCGCAGCTCTTAAATGCGAGCTGGCTATTAAATCGAATCCCGTTTGGCTGCTGCTGCTGCGGGTGGTGCTGGTGGTGCTGATGGTGCTGGTGGTGCTGATGCTGTGCCCACAGCATTGATAGAGTTCCGTCGCAGCAGCAGCGGGTGCTGCACTATTTAGGCTTTCGCCAAGAACCTTTGACACACAAAAAGGCAGCATTATTGAGTAGTCGAGTGCCTGGATGGCTGAGCGTGTTAGCGAGTAGGCGGGCGGGTGGTGAACCCTGTGCCCATGCGGAGCTGTTGCGGCCTTATTGCGTATACGCCCCCGTTATTGTGTCGCACTCGAATGGCTTTTATATTGTTGGGCTTTTGTGTGCGGGTGCAACTGCAGCCGAAACTGAAGCTGATTCGAGCTGGGCTTTGCTTTTAGCTTAGCCATCTTGGCCTAGCCCGTGCGCACTTTTGCGGTTGCCAACTTTGATTTCTTTTAACTGGAGCACAATAAGTAAAACTTGGCCTGGACCAGCCCAGCCAGCCAGTCAGCCAGCCAGCTAGGCTGTGCTCGCCAGGCACGCTCTTTAGTCAACAAAAAGCCCTTTGCTCGGCTTCCTGCCTCTTTGTTCACATTCAGTTATTTTCTCATTGAATGGCCGCATTTCCTTTTCCTTTCTATCAGTCAGCTCACAATACGGAAACCCTTTACACGAACTAACAAATGTTTGTCCATTTTTGTATTTTATTTTCCAACACACAATGGTTTCCACTGAATTTCAGAATTTAATATTGAAATATTGAATATGCTGATGTTTTCCAAACTAAATGCATTCTAGCTTCTCTTTTCTATATTTGTGGCTAATCTGAAATCACTTTTAGTTCGGTCTATTATTTCTACTTTGCCTTGCCAGCTTAAGTTTATAGTAGAGTATGTTTAATAATAGCTTCAGAATCGAAACAAATGAAATTCGTAATGTTGCCAGCGCTTTGACCACACAACAACCTTTTTAAACTAATTACACAGCTTTTTGGTTGCCCTCAATCATCAGATTTAATCCACAGCTCGAGTTTTCTGCTCAATTTGATTGTGAAAAGTGTTGAACTTGCAATTAAAAAACGGAAAGACCGTTCCTGTTAATTATTTTTGCCTCTTTTTTAGCAATTTAGCACACAGATCCTTGTTCCCTGCTCAATTTTGTTATTGTTGTGTTTTGTTGGTCGGTTTGTTGTTGCCTTATGCTTTGCTTTTGCTTTTGCTTCTGTTTCCTGCTCCATTTCCTCTTATTATGTTTCTACAGTGGCGCTTTTTTATATACAAGCTTTATTTCTATACCCTTTCTCTGAGTAGGTTTGCAAAAAGTGTCTGTATAGATTATTATAACACGTTTTTAAAAAAATAATGAATGTGTAGTTGAATACAGAAGAAAACAAGAAAATGTTAGCAAAGGTATTTATTTATTTATTAATTATTAATTTTGTTTTAATTTTTAAATAATTTATTTTTCTAGTATTTCTATTATTTAATTATTTATTTATTTGCTTATGAATTAATTTATTTAAATACTTTTATTAACTTAGTTTTTAAATATTTATTTATTTATTTATATATTTATTTATTAACTTATTAATTTATTAACTTATTAATATATTTATTTATTAATTATTAATTCATTTATTGAATGATATATGAATAAATGTATTTATATATTTAGTTATTTATATATTTAAATTTTTTTATTTATTCATTTATATTTATTGTTTTCTTTTTTAGCATATTTTTATTTATTTACTTATTTTGTATACATTATTATGGAATTAAATTATTGGGGCTCTCCAGATTGGGCAAGAGTATCTACTTTTCTTAAACATGCGATACATTTCGTTTTTGCTCTAATTTAGCAGTTTTCACAGCTTTTGTTATTTTTTCTGCTCTTGCTTTTGTTCCAACCTAAACGCCGCTCATCCTCTGTTCAGCTGTTGTAGCTGTTGTAGCTGGTGGTGCAACGTTACCCAAGTTGAGGCTGTGCCGCACTCGGCTGCATTGTGAATGGGAATAGCCACAGCCGAAAACCCAATGCCTGTCGCTCGGACTTCTGCTTGACACTGCTCAATGGAAATTTGTTTACAGCTTGCTTTTAGCTTTAGCTCTAGCTTTAGCTTTAACGGCAGCAGCAACAGCAACAGCAGCAGGAGAGGCAACAACACCTCGAACAGTACTGCGAGCTGTCAAATTGTACTATAAATTGTGCAATCGCAGTGTTCAATGCAGCTGCAGTTGAAGCTTGGCTTGGTTTTGTTTGCCCAAGGATTAGAAGAAATTGAATTTTCCTAGCTGTTTCGTTGAGGGCTCAAAACTTTCGTTACGGCCAAGTTTTTCTTTCAGTTAACGTTTGCACATCTTGTTTTTTCTTTCTTTTTTTTCGCTTCACTTTGCTTTGTTTCTGTTGCTGCTTTTGTTGCTGCTGCTGTTGCTGTTGGTCTTGCTGTAGCTGTTTCGGACTCTGTTTAGTTTGCTTTAATGGGCAACATGGCAGCTCAGTGCGAATGCACAGGCTGCATGCAGGGATGGGATGCAAAAGGGAATCTCTATCCTTGCTGCTTTTTGTGCTGGCAAACTTTTCTACTTAGGATTTGAGTGCGGTTTTCGGGAATGGCCAGCGGAGCTAGCGGGGCTAGCGGGACCAGTGAGGGCGAGCTGCCTGGGCCGTAGCATGTAAAAACAAAAAGCCCAGTCAAGCTCTCCAACTGGAGGAGAATGTGCACTCGAACTGCTCAGGCATTATTGCATTAACTTTGGCCAAGCAATGCGATTATTGATTTGCAGCAGTTGCCGCCGACGAACAGCAAAATGCACTTGACAAACATCAAAGTTTCTAACTTTTCTCTCTCTCTCTCTCTCTCTCTCTCCCACTCTTTCTTTCGTTCTCTTGCTCTGTAGATAAACCAATTTGCCGGCCCGATCAAAAGAAAATCTATGGCGTAGCCCGCAGCGAGTCGGCCGAAATCGTTTGCGAAGTGGACGCCTTTCCGCCACCCGAGAACTTCAAGTGGTCCTTCAACAACACCGCGGAGACCTTCGATATGCCGCAAAGCGGCTTCCGGCCCCACTCAGCCCAGGGCTCCACGCTTACCTACACTCCAGTCAAGGTAAGTGCGCATTGATAAGCATGAATGCCAACGATACTGTTGTCTATGTCTAACCGAAGGCGAGCCCCAATGAAAATGAGAAACTACATCGCATTAAAATATGGTATTTGAAACATGGGAACAGCCAACTGTGTGCGGGGGGAGGAGAAAAGCGCGCTAAGTGCTCCAATCGATAGATGTCTTTGAGTTTTTGGCTTTGAAGTAATTTTACAATTGAATTTTGTGTTTTCTGTATGAAAATGTTATTGACACATTTCAAATTTGGCCAAATGATTGACGAGAAGGCCAACGCGCGACGTGCACTTAAATGCCAAAATTTTAATTAATAGGCAGCAGTCTCTCTTCCATTATTGTTGTTGTTGCTGTGGCTTGTGTGCGTGTCACGTTGTCAAACAAAATGTAAAACCAACACGAGCAAACAACAAGCAAACTGCGCGCATGGCGTTAGCTGGGGGGCTCTGGCATTTCGCTAGAACATTTTTTAATTAAAAATTCTATTAGTGCTGCTTTCTAATTAAAATCGATGCCAAGAGCAGCAGCAGCAGCAGCAGCGGCAGCGGCAGCATTTGCTAGGGTCTCAGATTAGTTCATAGCATTAAAGCCATTGCCATTTTGGCTTTAATGGCCATCAGCAATATAGTTGGGAGACAACAGAAGCCAAACACAATCGACTCGCCGGCATGCGAGTCGCTTGTGGCCCCGCACATGACTGACAATTGGCCAACATTTCCGCTGGGAATGGCCAATGGTTATCGTCATCGATATGGCCCATTGCGACGGCGATTGCCGATTGCCGATTGCTGATTGTCGATTGCCAATTTCGATTGCATTTTGACGTTTTGCACTTGGCTGCCACCCTGCCAATTGAGCAGCCAAATTGGCTATCAATGAGCCCGGGCTGCCTTCCCATCAATGGCAACAAATTGTAACTGGAAGCGCCTGCTACCCGAACCTGCGCCAAGTGCTTTTTTGCTGCTTGCATCTGAGTCTGCAGTTGCTGGTTTCACTCTCCTGCTTTTGTTCACTTTGATGGGCTGCCAAGGCGAAACGAAATCTGTATTGCAATCAGAGCTCAGACAATTAGGTTAGCTCGAGGCTATTCCGAAATCAGAGTAAAGCACATCGCTGGCTGCCCGAGCTCATGCTGAGCGGGATCGAACCGAATGTGCGTCAAGTGACAATGATTTTTGATCTTAAGAGAGTTGATTTTAGTTATCTCCTTCTAGTTGCATTGCAGAGCGAAATGATAATCATTAGGTGAACACAAAGCCAACTTACTGGAGCATTTAGAAACGAATTAGTTGTCGAGAAAATGGAAATTATAGGAAAGTAACTGTAATTGCTAAGCCTTTTGGTGCCTGGCTGCTTGGCTGTCAGGCTGACCCACTTTATAGTGGTGCAGTAGCCAGCGTGGCTCACATTAAACTCTCTGATTACAAGGGAGTGCATGGAAATGCAAATTGAGATTACAGCTCGACTCGTTGCTCACATTTTTAGTTGTCAAAAGAAATGTTCCGCCAGTCAAACGTTATTCAAATGAGTTCCGCTCACAGACAGTTGTCCGGCGTTGATTGCACCAAAAACAGACACATAGACACAGGGAAGTCACTCAAAGGCGCACACATACACTGACATAAATCATTTAGCTCAATTGAATATGAAAAATCCCTTCCGTTCTGTTGTCATATATGCTGTTTCCGGTTTCCGCAACCGCAGCTCAAGCGCCGTCGCTGTCCTTGTCGTCCTTTGGGCTGATTTTCTTTTATTTGCTTTTTTCTTCCACATATATACGTTTCCTTTTTTGCTGTGTGTGATTTGCTCAAAGGCAGGCAACAGCCAACAGCTCATTAATTTTTCGCCATGCTCCGGCATTTCTCACTCCATCACTCAGCCCAAGCTTGACTCTTGCAGTCTCCCTCTCTCGCTCTCTCGCGCTTACTTTTCCCCACTAGCTTTGTCTGTTTTGCATGTGCCTGGGTCTTCGTAGACATTTTTCGTTGCACAAACACACACACACACACACACACTCGCATACCCTGTATGAAAATAGCTCACAAAATTTGTCGAAAATTTCGCACACAGCATGGTTGGCCAGAAAACTCATTAAAATGTCACTGAAATGTTCAAATTTTAATTAAAATACATAAACAATAACATTTATTTTTCGGGCTGTCAGCACTAGGCAAGAATGCAATAAAAATGCAGGCAGGAGCCGGGCCGAAGATGGGCGAAAAATCACAGACTCTGCCTTGAAGCTAAATTGAACAGGCTTGTGTGTGTGTGTGTGTGTGTGTTTGTGTGTGTGTGTGTGTGTGCATGCAAGTATGTGCATATATGTAATTTAGATAGGCTGTGTTTGCTGGCTGCTGCTGCGCTCTACAACTGTAATAATATTTACGCTTAGTTGCGGCAGCATTAAAATAATATAAACAGCCGAGCTTAATGATAATAAAATAATATATTCACATAGTTGGGCATAAATAGTTGTGCAATATACACACGCATTCGGAAATATGCTAGTCACTGTCTGGCAACTGCAAATGTATCAAGAAACATCTTCTTGGCTAACAATTGCCACAGCCCCAAAAAGTATGCTACGCTTTTTAGCATGCTTTATTTTCCTACAATTTGTGCTGGCAATTTGTATATTGCGAATTTATGAATGCTTAGCATATGGTATATATATATGTATATGTGTTGCCTGTGGCTACACACACACACACACACACACACACAGACACACATGTATTCAGTGTTGTGCAGGTGTTGAAGCGCAGTGTTGGCAGCTGCCTAGTTGCCGCCTTTGTGACAACACTTTCATTAAATTCAACACTAGAGCTTGTCATATAAATTCCATAGCTATGTATATGTGCTCGGTTATGCTTATTTTCATTTATCATAAATTTGCATAAACACTCCGCATGCAGCTGACACAAGCACAGTGTCCACATGAGGCGATGCAGCAGCATTCAACACCTTCTCTCTTTCATTTTCAAACACAACATTGTTTAATAACAAATTAATGTTCTCACATATTTAAATTGAGTGAAATGTTGCCTTCAATTAATAAGCTCTACTTGCTTTGAGCTAAATTGTTTGACGTTTTCATATTTAAGTTTTCCCACAGTCCATTTAGGAATTTTTACTCTTGACCGCTATCAAGGAATCTCGTTTAAGTTTCTCATAATTCTCAGCCAAGTTTCTCGTTAAGCCTTTCCCTTCCATTTGCTGTGTTGAAATTAAAGAAAACTTTCAGTTTTTCTTCTTTTTTTGTTATTAATCAGCTTGCCACTTTTTTGCCCCAATTAAAATGACAAGAGCGCCCGGTTCTGACTTCTCCGGAGACTTTCGAGCCGGGGCATAGAGAAATATAAATGCACGCTCCGAGTGATAAATCAGCTGCAATTTGCGTTGACATTTTGAAGCGTGCTGCGTGCCAAGGAAAGTGATTTTAATTTTTAATGAGTTCAAGACGCCCGGCGCTGATTAAGTGCGTTTATTTTTCCAGCTAACAATTCCCAAGGTAAATAGACACACACAGCCAAGGCAGGGTGCTATCTGTGCACGAGTCTCTCTCTCTGTCTGTGTCTGTGTGTGTGTGTGTATGTCTTGTCTTGACGGTCTGTTTCTGTGCAAACAAATCAATCGTCTTGAATGTTGTTGTTCATTTGACCGTAATATAGTTGGAGGATTTCATTAGCACAACATTTGACACAACACAAACACACGCAAGGAATCAACAATGGGCCCGCAGGGCGTGGCCACTTATCAGGTTCAACATGGCCAAACACATGGCATACATTATAGCCATGTTAACATAGTTTCCTTGCGGGCCCCGCCAATCACAGACCCGGAGAAATATGTACCCAAATAGCCCAGCCACAACATGCTTCATTTGTTTTTACTGCCAAACTGGGAAAACTTTCTCTAGCTCTCGTCTGCTTCTTCGTCGCGGCTAGTATATACAGCCAGTGTATACTGTCTATATATATGTGTGTGTGTGTGTGTGCTTTTATTGACATGAAATTATATTAATGAAAGACTTATTGACAGCTGCGATCAATCAGGCGGCTTGACAAGCACATTACGCATACGCCACCGACTCACAGTGCAGAACGGGACGCAACTTTAATGACTTTGTTGTGTACTTTATTTATTATATAATGCGTGTTTATATTACAGTTGCATAATGCAACATCAGCCCGCATAGCACTTAACTGCACAGCGCTGCGCGCAATAAGTTGATTAATTAACTAACAATAATGAAGGCGGAGCGTAATCATTTAATTAATTGCCTTAAAACCATATTATAAATCCCCCTGAATGTGCTGCAACAATTTGTTCTCATTTTTTTAATTGTTTCCTGCAGGAAATGGACTTTGGCACCATCATGTGCTGGGCGGACAACAATGTAGGCCAACAAAAGGAGCCCTGTGTGTTCCATTTGATAGCGGCGGGCAAGCCGGAAGCGCCCACCAATTGTACCGTGGTCAATCAAACGTCCGACTCATTGGAGGTCTACTGTCTCGAAGGTGAGTCCGCAGCCGCAGCTGAAAGGCAGCCGGCGAATGCCAGCTCCAGTAATTGCTGATGAGCCAATCAATAGTCGAAAAAAGAGAAATAAAATATATATATTTCCTTTATACATATGTATAAATATTTATATACATATGTATCTGTGGTAAAAATACGTTAGCCACTACTCAAGCAGTGTGCTGCATGGCCAGTTAAATGACCAGAAGAAGAGAGTTTCGGTAGAGTGTGCATGTGTATGGGCATGTTGTTGTTGTTGTTGTTGCTGATGTTGCTGTTGTTGTTGTGTTTTCTGCAGCGCTTTTTAGACTCATTTAAAATACATGAGCAACTTAAGTGCACTTTGGCAGCAGCCAATGCGAATGAGAATGCGACTATGTGCCTCTGGGCGTATGTGTGTGTGAACAACTTCCTTCGAGATAGAACAGAATAATAAAAATGCAATGAAAGCATAAAACTAGAAAAGGCAACACGCTGAGAGATAGTCCATACACAAAATGCTTCAGAATAGGAGCAGATTGCAGTGGAACGAAGAATGCCTGGGAAATGTTGCTCAGTTCAAGCAGCCAAAACGGCTGAAATATATACATATGTATGCATGTATGTATACGCGCATGGCATGAAATGATGAAGTGGTGGCACACAGCACAGCCACTGCACTGCCAGCGGATCCAGAAACAGAGACTGACTTGGGGTAAGCACAAATTTGTACATACAAAATGTTTTGGCTTGTTATGCAACTTGCTGGCAGTAAGCGTAAAAGTAAGAGTAAAAGTAGAAGTAGAAGTAGAAGCAAAAGTAAAAGGCGAGGCAAAAGCAGCAGCGCAGTGGCAGTGGCGAATGCAAAAGGCGAAAACTTTAAATACAAATTCAATTCGCATATTTTATGCGCTACGGAAATGCAAAACTGAGAGATAGATAGTAAGAGAGTGGGAGAGAGAGAGAGAGAGAGATGGAGAGATGATAACTGCCAGCACAGCGCAAAATAAGCAGCACAAATTGTTGCTGTCGAGTTTAAAGTTCAGTTCCATAGCGCTGCATATTAGCAGACTGAAGACGACGAACGGCGAGCAGTGAACAGCGAACGGCAGACGTCGGAAGTCAAATGCCGGACGTCGGACGTCGGACAGAAGACGAGAAATGTCCTCACAAATTGCGACTGTAAGAGTTGAGTTTATGATGCATTTATGCGGCCCTAGAAACGCTCTCAACTGCAAAGCAAGGCGAATACCAGAAGCAGCGACAGAAAACAACAACAGCAGAAGCAGTGGCAGTGGCAGTGGCAGGAGTCGGAGCAGGAGCAGCAGCATACCGATGCGACTGCTGAAAGTGCAACAAAAAGCGCATAATAACTGCATACTTGATGGCGCATTCCACGTTGCTGTTAGCCATCTTGACAATCCTACTGCTTGGCCTGGCCAACTCCTGCGCGCTCTCAACAACATGCCTGCCACAAATGTCAAATGCTTCATGTCTCAGCTCGGCTTGTAGGATTCAATTACTATGACTACTCTCGTACAAATTTGATTTTTCGTCATTCAATAGTATATATATATTTTTTTTTTGTAATTTATTATTAAAAGTATATGAAATATTTCTTAAGTTAAGTATATTTATCTTTAAGTTTTATATAATTTAATGGTGCTATTTAGTTTATTGCTCAGCCCTAGCTCGTACACATAGCTTGGGGCTTTAAGCTGGCCTCTTTAAGCATTTTATGTACATTTCGCAGTCGCTTGGACCCCGCAGCCCTGCTAATTTAGTGGCTGCACATTATTATCATAGTCATCAGCATCATTAAAACTTTAACGCAACTTGGTAAGCAGCAAGAGCAACACAAGCAACAGCAACACAAGCAGCAGCAGCAGCAGCAACAAAACACGATACTTTTTATATTGCACTTTACATTAAAGCAAATGACGTGGTGCCCCAGTCCAAACAAGGGCGAACCCGGGGCCCCTACGCTGGCTTGTTTCTTTTTTATAATAACTCAACTTAAGCTGCGGTCGCTGCACGTTTCGACTTTAATAAGCCAGCACGCAAGTTGGCCAACTTGCCGCAGCAGGAGGCGGGGCGACGAGGAAGCGAACTTGCCTCGAATTCAATTCAATGCGCGCTGCTGCGGCTCACAGACAACTTGAGGGCAAGTTGCCTGCCCCAGGGCGCTTCTTAGCCAACTCTCCCCCCGTCTCTCTCTCTCTCACACTCCCGCGCTTGCTCTCTTTGTCTGCTTTTTTCATGTGCTCTCTGAGCGAAACAAAGCAGCGAGGCAACTAACCAAACTCATCAAGCGTCGGTTTAATATAATAAAATTTCAGTTTATAACATTTCGCTCGCTCCCGCTGCTGCTGCTGCTGCTGCCGTGGCTGCCGTTGCTTTATTATTTTTACTCGACTTGGGCAATTTTCATTGTAGATGGCTCCAAGTAAATAAAATTAACCCATTACAATGAAGTTTTTTGTTGCTGTTGTTGGCGCTGTGTTGTGTTGTGTTGTGTAGGGCTGGCCTGGCTCGGGCTGGTTCGGCCCGATGCTGCGGCAAATTTCATTAGCTAAACGTTTTAAAGTGCGCACAAAATGCTTTGGGTATGGCCGTGGCCAGGCAACGAGCGACCCCTGGCCACAAACAATGATGCCGCACAAAGGCCTTTGAAGCAAAGGCGAAGCACATTCTTTTGACTCTATTTTCGTGCAGCCTTTGTGCTCAGAGCCACCATCAAGAGCGCCCAGCAGCACCACCACGACCTCTGCACGAACCAGCGGGCGGCCATAATAAGTACAACAATGCTGGCTAAATTCATAGCAACATATAAAACATTTTATACAACAATTTATCCTTGAGTTGCCACGCCCCTTTTGCCGAAGTCTCTCCTTCTCTGTCTTCGTATTGCGCACTGACCAACTCAAGTTGTAGTTGATGTGGGAGTGGCTGCAACCTTTTCAAACGCCGCCTTTATTACCAAATATTTTAACATTTTTCGCAAGTGTTTTAAGCCGACTTTTGTGTCTAGAGCAAAGTACCATTTGAGCGGTAGCAACGACAACGACAACAACAACAACAAAGACAGCAACAGCAACAACTTTAGCCGCTTATTTTTCGGCAAAGGGTGCCACACTTACGAATGGTGGGCGGGGCACACAATTCCCATTCAAGTGGGCGGCCAGTTCTTTTGTGGTGTTATTAAATGGCATTCAAAATGAAGCTTTAGATTACTTCTAACATTTTTGTTAACTTCACTTGTGTCCCAAAGGGGCGGTGGGCGTAAGGGCGCGACAAAATGTTTGCGCAGATAATACCCGAAATTAAATTGACATATTTTCAAGTTTTAATCATTTCATTAGGCTGCTGCAGCATTACCTTAACAATTAGTAAGCTATAATAATTATACCAAAAGAGAATGAAATATGCAATAAATATAAGAGGGAGTATTCTGAGCTTCCCAATCGATTGACGTATGGTGTTGCAGTAGTATGGGTGCGCAGCTGAGTGTATCCGTGTGTCGGAATGAGTCTTAGCTTTGCCTTGTCTTGTGTCTTCTTTCTCTCTCACTCTGCCTTTGTCTCTCGCTCTCTTTACCTCATTCTCTTTATGGATCAGACGTAAAGTTTAAATGGACTATCATATTCAAATTCAAATGATATATTCGCTGTATTAAGGATTCTTATCATATTGGCATTGTTTCCAGATATTTATATATATGTACATTTATACATTTATTTATATAAATATATACTTTTTTAAATATTATCTAAAAATAAATTAATACTATATAATAATAATAATAATCATTTATTTTTTATTTATTCTCCAGGCTTTGATGGTGGCATGCGTCAATGGTTCATGATGGAAATCTATGATCAACACAATGGCATGCTGCAGGCCAACATCAGCGCCAAGTTCGCCGTGTTCAGTGTGAGCGGCCTGGATGCGGGTCGTCTCTTTCGAATCTATATCTACGCTGCCAATGGACGCGGCCGCAGTGAAGCCGTGCCCTTGGATGGCTACACTCTGAAGGCTGCCGAGAAGCAAACTGGTAAGTGCATGGGCAGCGGCTAAGGGGCAAGAGAGAATGCATTTTTATGTGGGGCGTGTATTTGGCATTTATGAATGTTTTATGTTAATCTCTCTCGTGCCAGCAAGTGCTTATCGACACGCAGTCCGTCAGTCGGGGCAGTTGCATAATTTTGCATGAGATTTAGCTCGTATAGAGGAGTAAATTGAAGTCGAGCAGGAGACTTCGTTCCGCTTTCATTCTCAGGCCGTCTTGCAATTTAATTACGCTAAACTGCTCAATGAATTGTAAATTCCGCAGTGGTACAGAAAAACTTTTCCCTTGCATTTGGTCCACCCTAAAAATATGAGAGGCAATGTAACAGAACCCAAATTATGCAGGCGCCTGAGTACCGAAAAAATATGAAGAAAAATTATATAAAATGATTAACATTAATGAATTGTCTTTAGGAGGCTTGCGCCTGGCATGAAATGAAAGCAAAAGCAAATTGTAATACTAATTAGCTGAAGCAAAATGCCGTAAAGCAAAGTTTAGAAGAGCTTTTTCCACTGGCTGGGCCAAATGAGCTCGGGCTGTGTAGCCATTCCATAGTACTTGGCAAAGACAGAGTGTTATTTTTTTTTTTTTTTTTTTTTTTTTTTTTTTTTTTTTTTTTTTTTTTTGGTAAACAACTTGAGACGTCGTTTTAATTTTTCATAAAGTCACAACAAAAGTGTAAAAGAAAAATGGGGAAATATGATGAGGGCGCTTGAAATGCTAGCAGTTAGCATTTAAAAAAACTGAATACCCTTTCAGAGTATTCAGAATGCTAAAAATATTACAAATAAAATAAATAATTAATAATAAAAATAATTTGACATTGAGGAAATTTGGGCCGGGATTCAAAGCTACAATTATATAAAAAATATTTTCAAAATTAAATTTAATCAATTACAATTTTATTTTTGTTTTTATAATATTCTTGGCCATTTGTACTATTTATTCATTTTATTTTTATTTTTTATGTTTTATTATTATTAATTTTTTTGTTTATCATTTCTTTATGTTTTATTACTATAGAACTATTTTGCTTATATAAGTAAAGCCGTGACAGGCCGTAGATTGAAACAGAGATACCCGTTTGGCTGTAGTGTAGAGTAAAAATTAGCATTTAGCCGTCTTATTAATGGGCTACTGTTTGGGGATGTTGCTTAGCGACGCTTTGTCTAATTGGACATTAAAACGATTCCGAATTAAACATGATTTCAATTTAATATTTTTTCATCTTGTGTGCTAACTCGGTCTTTTTCCCACTCTTTGCAGTTGCATTGACCTCGTACAAGGGCAGCGCCCAGGGCCCCAACAGCTTCGAGCTGACGCCCATCCTATCCATTGGCATATTTGTGGGCATTCTGGTGGCTCTGGTCTGCATTGGAATCGGCACCGTCGCCGCGCTGAAGCTGCGCTCGCACAAGCATCAGCAGCAGCAGAAGTTCGCACACTCGAATGCGAAATTCTCACGTCCGGGCAATTTGCAAATTAAGGATAAGATCTCATTGCCATTGAGCCACTCCGAGGAGATGTACGACGAGAAGAATCCCGATGTCGTGCCCTACAACGAGGGTAAGTGCAATTGCAATCCCGGCCAATCTTCCGTTTGCCTCAAGATAAATGCGACCGGGTGCTCTGGCTCCGTAATTTATGAGCGTTAGCAAAATAAAAAGGGGCTTAAGTACAGCCCGGCTGCCTGCCCTCCAGCCCGCTGGCCGAGCCAAGCAAACACGCTCGAGAGCATGCGAGTGAGTGGGAGTATGTGTGCGTGCGTGTGTGAGGGGCGGGGCTGGATTTTTGTGCCAGTGTTGAAATATTTAAATGACAGCTAATTGCTCCCAGGCTGGTCTAAGCTGCCTTTTCCATGTGTTTGTTTGCTCATATGTCTGCAGTCAAGTGCCAGTCCAACTCTTTGTCACTCGACTTCCCTCCCGCTCTGGCACTCTCTCGCTCTCTCCCTCTCTCTCTCTCTCGCTTGCTCGCTTTAGTGGTGTGCCCTCTGCTGTGCAGTAGTACTTTAAGTTCGCAGAGATTTCGGCCAGTGCACACGTCCTTAGCTTGATTAATGGCAATCAAGAAATCAGCGGCAGCTTTACCAGCTCAACAATTTAATCAATTTTCCTAACGTACAGCAATTTGATGGCAAATGCCGAAAAGAAAATTGAACGTTGCTTCAGCGAAAATCACCAACAGATTTCCTCAAAAAAGGGGAGGCACCCGGCCAGCCAGTTGGCCAGCCAAAAACTTTTGCCTTTTGCGCAACTTAACAACAACACCAACAAGCCGAAACTTTTCACTAAGCCAACGTTTTCTCTCTCTCTCTCCCTCTTCCTCTATCGCTCTCTTTCTTCCAATTTAGTTGATGGCGAATATAAACAAAAATCAGCAACACAAACGCCATCGGGACATCTTTCAACAACCAGCGAGGTGGAAATCAGCTGCAAGCCAGGCGCCACAGCCGGCGTGAGCGCCAGCGTCGCCGCCTCCTGCTCGACGGACAGCGGCGCCTATCAGAGCAGCAAGGTAAGTTAGCTGGCGCACATTGTGGTTAGATTATAGGCATACAAAAACTCTGCCAAGTTTATGGTTTATAATTTCAATGAATGTTAAATACTAAATCTTAAATTTACCCAAATACGTATACACATTGTGCCTTTAAAGGACGACGAGCTGCACTATGCGGAACTTGCGCTGAACACCGCCAGCACCTCCAAGAAGAACCAGCCCGCTTTGACAACCCAGCAGCAGCAGCAACCGCCACAGCAATCGCAGTCACAGTCACAGTCGCAGTCGCAGCCAGTCGTGGGTGGCACCTTGCCACATGGCTCCAGTATGCGCAAGCTGTTGCCCAACATACCGGCCACGGCCACGCTGCAGCGCCACAAGCCGAATGCGGGCGGGCTGCAGCATCCGCACCAGCATGCACCGGCGCACTCGTACGACTATTTCGAGGAGCCCACGATATATGCACAGATAGATGCATATAAGACGCGGGCCGGGGCAATGGCGGTCATGCAGGTGGACACGGCGGCCGGGTCGGCGTTTGGGCAGTGCGTCTCATCGCCAGGATCGCAGGGGACGCCCTCGACCGTGTCTCCGGGCACGGTGCAAATGTATACGCTGCCCTCGCATCCCGGCGGCTATCACACCCTGCCGCACAATCACCAGCAGCAGCAGCAGCCGCCGCACAGCTCCTCCTCCATGATGCAAATGATGCATCAACAGTTGCATCATCATCCAGCTGGCAACATGCCCATGCCGCCCTCCTACCAGCAACACCAACAGCAGCAACAGCAGCAGCAGCAACAACAACAACAGCAGCAACAGCAACTGGCACATGGCCAAATGCTCGTCTCGAGCAATAGCAGCGGACTGGCCTCCACGGCAGCCATCGCCAGTCCCAGCAGCTCCCTCTCCGGGCTGTCCGGCGTGGGCAAGTCCTACTCACGCGAAATTGTTACGGTGCGGACACCGTTGATGTTCTCGCAGCAGGAGAGCTGCGTCTAAGTGCAGATGTCCCGTGCAATTGAGAGCTCCTTGAGGTTTGTGTCTAGGCTAAGTGTTGCCAAATGAACGAATTGAAAGCAAAATATTTAACTGTATAATAAATACATCCACAAGCACTGCAACAATTAAACACAATTGAACAAAATTAACAGGCGAACCGCCATTTGCCATTTTCAACCATTTCCGACTACAAATAAGTCCAATAAATCCATGTAATTAAACACGTAAAATATGCAAGAGCAAGCCGTAAATTTGATTATGAAACCATATCGATACCGGCGAATCTCCAATGCACCGATTAATCAGATTTGCTTGCCATCATAGGGAATACTGAAAAGTAAATTGAAATACATGTTAGCGTAATTTACAACATAAAATCATAAAAAATAGAAAAAAAAAAACGATGAAAATACAAAAATAAACGAAAATATTCAAGAGTTTATAATTACCTTGCTGGCAGTGCAAAGTATTTCCTCAACTAATACTGACTGAGCTACGCAGCTTTTCCATTGTTTTCTCTTTACTTTTGTTCCGTCTTGAATATAAGCTCTGCAGCAGCAGCAGCAGCAGCAGCAAACACAATGAATTCCAATTGAATGTGCATCAAAAGGTTCCTTCCTTACAGTAAGTACTCACACAAAACAGCCACAGACAAGAGCAGAAAACGCAGAAAAATAAAAGCCAAAAAATAAATTAAAAATAAATTAAAAATTAAAACCTATTTTGTCTAAGAATAAATAATGCAAATGCAAAAATATTTCCACAATGACTTTGTAAATGTATGTAAATGTTTTACGAAATATATATATATATATATAAATATCCACTTATAAAGTACGCAGAACAATTTATATAGAAACTAAGCTCAATATGCATAAACATTTTAGCATTAATTATTATATAATCAAACTTGAAGCTCACGAAACACAGCGGAAATAGCAAAAACTTTTGGCAATTAAATAAGTATAAAATTGATTATAAATTAAATATATAAGAAAATTAAAAACACGCATAGAAAATGCACACACACACACACACATACACAAAAGTTAGTTGCAATTAGATTAGCATAAATTTGTAGCTCATAATGACTGTAAATGGCGAAAAGTTATAAGAATCTGATTGTTTTAATCAATGTCTCATAAGTGTATGTAAAAATTAGTTGCATATTCCAATTTCAAAACTCAAAAGACTAAAAACTTGAAAAACATTTCGTTAAGAGCTCTAAGAACAATGTGTAAATTGCATTTTTGAATATACATATACTAATTCTTAATTTAAATACTATATAAATAAATATATTTACATTAATAAGTGTATATATACATATGTATATCAGTGTATTTCAAGCACCCTGTACATTTATTGTTGCAACTCTAAATTGATGTTAAAAAAATAAAATAATTTAAAAAGCGAAAAAAAATCTTTACACTCTTTAGGATAATTTGTAAAAAAATGAAAAACTGTTGCAAAAACTATTCGTCGCGCCAGAAAAATTCGAATTAAGAAAAACAACTGCAAAAAAAAAAGAAGAAAATTATAGAAATATAAATGTATTTTAAACGTGATGTCTCTTAAAAAAAGTTTAATGAATAAATAAATTAAATAATCAGAATTGGATCGTTGGCTAAGTGTATGTATGTAAGGATTTCAGAATGAGATTAGTCTAGCCAATTGGATAATAAATTAATTTAAATTAAATGTAAATTAAAATTAAACAATTATGAAAGATATAAATGTATGTTATTTTAAGCACTCAAAGAGCAAATGAAATCCAAGATAACAAGTGAAATCGATAAGATGTCCCCCATACCAAAATACAAGGAATACAATAAACAAACGGAGAAACTAAATACATTCAAAAATAAATAAATTCGAAAAATTTCAAAAAATTCATCCAGTTGCAATTTTATTGAATTCCGTTTTCAGCCCCTTCAATTCTTAAGCTCTCGACATATTTTCAATCAGGCCTTAGCTCCACGTGAGGCCTTCGGTGGCTGGGGCAAGTCCAACCTTGGCTGGCGCATGGCACCAGAAATATTTTGTTGCAGCTATTCGGCCATTTAGGGCCGCTATTTGGCAACAATTTCAATGCACACACACACACACACACACAAATTGACAGTGCAACGCTGGCAGAGCCGAGGGACCTGTCGCCTGCATCTTTGGCTGTGACTTGCAGCGCGGCTGCTGAATTTGCCTCAAGGGCAGCCGGAGCCAAATAGCCTTTTCAAATTGTGCACTCAAATGGACACAGCGAGGACAGCTGGCAGCGACGAGGACAGACTCACTACGTCTGTCCGTCTGCCCGTCTGCCCATCTGTCTGTGCAAACAGGGCGTATGAGCTATGTGTGCGCGTGTGTGTAGCGAGGAGGAAACGAGAGAGAGAGTGAGAGAGTGAGAGAAGAATACGTAAGGACATTTCTTACATTGAGCTTTTAACAATTTGGTATTCTTCATTTTTGTATTTTTTTATTCATTTTTGGACGGCGCGCAGCCGGGGCTGGGGAAACGTTTGCCTGTGCACTGGAGCGTAGATCTAAAGAAATGAAAAAGCAGCGCAGGCACAGACATCACTTAGATTTGTGGCTAGAAAAGCAACGACAATGCCAAATGGTCATGTTTGACAACTTTTCATGCCAGCACCCTCCCTGCCCCAGCAGCGTTCGTTACTTTGTCACGCTGCTCGAAATTAACAAGGAAACCCAAAATTGACATACTCCGAGCATGGCAACTGGCAGGGGCCAAGCAAATGAGGCAGCCAGCCAGAGAAATCAGTGCTGCAAATGCAACAACAGCTCGCCGCTGCACTTACTGCTCATATGTCACATGACCCCTCGACACCCTCGGCTGCCCCTCGTGCGACGTAAATGTCTCCTGCAGCAATATTTCTGCCAGCTTTGATGTTCTCTGTTCCTGCCACAGGCGACTGGCTTCAAATTAAAACTTGAAATGTTCGCTCAATTAAGTGTGTGCGTCCAGATCATTCGAAATGGCCATTTAATTTCTGGCTGTGTGGAAAATTGAATGGAAATTTGTTACTTTGTAGTCAACCTCTTTTATATTTCCAGAATATTGTGGCGCTGGCTTGAAATTAATTCTGGAATAGAAATATAATATACACTAATATTATATATGCTGAAGGGGTAGAGCTTATTGAAAAAGTTTTTGTTTCCGATTTGCATAAAGTTATAGGGGACCATCTTTTGTAGGAATATTATTTGATTTATGTTGCTACAGCACGTCGCCCACTTAAAGCGCGGGCTTGAGGAAATCCTTATTTATATATTGACAAATCAGTTGGAGCTTAACCTGAAATTCAGCGCATGTAACAATCGCTCGAGTGCTGCAGCTGTCCATCACTGTCGGAGTAAAAAATAAAAAGCAAATGCATAAAAAATAACAGCTCAGCAATTGTTTGCCGAGTACCGGCGTCGGTCGATCGCCGGCTGGTGTAACTCATCCATTGGTATCTGCTGGCCATTTGTTAAGCAAGCCAGTGCAACTCGTTCGGGGCGGGCATACATCAAACTGTGAACGCAAAATACGCTCGTATTTGTTACGTTTGACGGGGCATAAACAAGGAACAGGAAAAGGAACAGCAACACGCGGCGTATGCGCAATATTCGCATGAGATATGTCCGCGTAGCTGGCTGGGATTGGAGATTATTGCTGCAGCAATGGCAGGTAAATGACATCGCAGCTGGATGGCGCTTGTGCCTGTGTCGTATCAGCGTCTGAGGCAAAACAATCTCATTACTATTATTTTTGAGCAGCAGCAAACTTCAAACTTTCTATCAATTTCCGCTGCAATATCCGCCAGGCGCACCAGGCGCTCACCAACAACAAAATCTCAAGTAGTGTCTCATGTGCAGCGCCGCGCTGTGCGGTGCAGCGCCCGAGAATGCACTCAACACACTTTGCGTCAAAGCCATTGTTGTTGTCGTTAGCCTTATTGTTATTATTGCTATCGCTGTTGTTGCTGCCGCTGCCGCTGCTGCTGTTGCTGCTGCTTGTGTTGTGTGTCAGCGGCGCCCAAGTGACAGCATTGTTTTGCGCCCTGACGCAGCTGATGCTACAAGAAATGCACGCTTTGAAGTAAACAAGCAATTTTGTAAAGCAGCAACATCAGGATACCTCTCCCCAGCCCCTGGCAACCCCTGGCAAGCCTTGGCAACCCCTGGCAACCGAGCACGTATGCATGCAAAGAGTCTAGCTCGGAATATGGCCTGCGTCGTCAGCAGTCGAGTCCATGCCCTTACCCCTACCCTCACTCGCCGCTGGCAACTGTCAATGCACTCTCGACTCGTCGACTCGTCGCTGCTCCTTTTGCTGCATTTTTTATGCTGCATCGCTCTTTGACTCTTTTGCCGCTTTTGTTCGGCTGCTGCCGCCCTATCAGCCATGAATTATTTTTGCATTTCTGTTGCACGCTGACAATGATGGGGCACAGCCCAGACGCTGACAACAATGTCATCAACATAATCATCAGCCATCAAGCTAAACAGCATTCGTATATATACAGATATACTTGCATAAATACTCGAATAATATATACGCTTTTGTATTTGAAAAAAAGTAAAGTAAAAAGTATGTTTCAACAGCCTCTCGTTCCCTTAAACAGCGACTTTGACTCGGTCCATAATTAATATTACGCATACGACAGGACGTACACAGAGCAGCAGGACTGCCAGCCTGGCTTTGGCTTTACAAAGCGTCAAGCTTTGCACTGGCTCCAGTGACAAATGTTTGGCCATAAATTACAGTTATGCATGCTATAAATATTCAAATAACATGACCAGCACCCAAATGCTCTCACAGCAACTGGCTAACTAATGATCTATTAGCCAAAACTGGAAGTTCCTGTTTGGTTCTGTTTCGTTTCGTTTCGTTTCGTTTCGTTTCGTCTCGTTTCGTTCGTTTCTCTTCGCGCCACTCAGCTCCGTTGCGTGTCTTATTAGTTCTGAAAGGCGAGCACGTTCCAAGTTTTATGGCAGCC